ATTCTTCGACCGCAAGAAGAATAAGGCCCGGTCTACAATGGATGTCGTAAGTCGGAGTCGTAAGAAATTGACCAATCACAATCTATTATTCTCCTTGCGGTCGAAGAATAATGAACTGTGATTGGTCAATTTCTTACGACTCCGACTTCCGACATCCATTGTAGACCGGGCATAATAGATTGTGATTGGTCAATTTCTTACGACTCCGACTTCCGACATCCATTGTAGACCGGGCCTGATTAGTCAATTCTTGCGACTCACGACTTTGCGACTCGCCGTGTAGACCAGTGTAGACCCAGCATAATAGGCCCCCCTTGTTTTAGGAGACAACCGTTGAGTGAGCTCTCATTGGCCGCGTTCAGCAGACACAACTGTTGAGTTGGTCATCAACACTCTGCGTTGCGTGGTTGGTTCTAAAAGTAAGAGTCACGCACGTTCGACTGCTACTCAGCGGCAAGGGTCTGCTTGAACGCGGCCAGCAGAAATTAAATAAAAACAGATCAACGAGCTAAAAGAGTCATACGAGCTCGTATGTATGTATGACTCTTTCAGGTCGTCGATCGCTTTTTTGTGATCAGCTTTTGAAAAGCTGCAAGCTTATTGGCTCAAAACTGTGCGATAGCCAATCACGTTGCAGCCTTTCTGTTAGAGCACAGAGTTTGCGCATACGTTTCAGTTTTGGCTGCGTTCCAAAATTCACTCCGAGTTAACTAAAATCTATAGTTTATTTACGTCACGTATGTATGTACACTATAGCATTTTAGCTAGAGTGAATTTTGGAACGCATACATTACATACATACATACATACATTATACATTTATTTATTTAATAGCTAGATACATTGAGAGCCATTGCATATCACATGATACGAAAGTGAGATATATGACCATGACCTTTATCAATTAGCTACTTACGTCCCCCCTTACGTCAAACGGTGTAAATGGCGTAAAAAATCGCGAGGTACATACATGCATACACCCGCGCGCCCGCGCACACACAGTCAGATTAAAAATCACTCGTCACTTGGCCAGTCTTCGCGCGGCTCTACTTTAACACCGCTTTTTACATGTCCAGATCCAGCACTTGGCCACACTTGGCATATTCACGCTGCAAGCTGCAACTGTGAACTCTCTCTCTCTGACGAGTTCTTAAAATTTAATATCATTACATCGCCACTGTTGTTATCTACTTACTGCTGTCTTGTGTTGACATTGTTGACAACATGAATACCAGATTCACCGGAATAGAATTAGGACCTCCTATCGAAGTTTTTGCGTTGCAAAAAGCATTCGTCGACGATACTTACGAGAATAAAGTTAATCTTACTATCGGAGGTATGTAACGATTTTATTTCTATCAAGTTTAATGTTCGAGACTAACATCAAGTTTCTTATCCGATTTTTACTCAAGAAAGACAAGATCGATTTTATTCATATACAGATTTACAGTGATGCTTGCCTTTAGCGAGTTTTTCAAAAAGTTAGGACTTATTATTAAATTAACATTATTTACATTTTAATAAACATAACTAAAAACTATATGAGTTGTGTGTAAGACAACACTTTTTTTTATCTCTATACTTTGAATCCTTGGGTTACTTTTAAAGTGATTACATAATATGTTCCATGTCACTCACACACAGATACCCACGCACACATACACGCACGTTTTCTTGCTCAATTGTAAAAAAATAATATATAAAAGCAAATAAGAATCAGTTATTATCAAGTTTTATCAAATGCATTATCTTAAATCTAACAAATTAATTTTTTTATATATCTGTGAATATAGGTATTAATTAATATTGACAGTATTACATAACAAACGTGTTTCTCAATTTGCGTAAGAACATTTCTCGAAACATAACGTTTGCATACTTTTTAAAGCCTACGTCGTATTTCTCTTTGTAATTTATACACGCTTAATTAATTTTATGTTGTAACATCTACCTATGAATCGTTAAAAAAATATAGAACGTCTTTTCCGTTTTCAGCTTATCGTACTAACGAAGGTAAACCATGGGTTCTACCAGTTGTAAGAAAGGTAGAAAAGTCACTTGCAGCCGATGATTTACAAAATCATGAATATTTGCCAGTTCTTGGCTTAGAAGCGTTTAGCGAAGCTGCTACGAGTATGTTATTAGGTACAACGTCTCCTGTTATTGCCCAAGGGCGTGCCTTTGGTATTCAGTCGCTTTCCGGTACTGGAGCACTGCGTGTTGCTGCTGAATTTTTCAGTCGTATTCTACATTACGATACCTTTTATTATAGTAAACCTTCCTGGGGTAAGTAAATTTCGGAGAATAATACGTTCTTCTTATTCCACCTACTAGTGAAAATTTCCATGTATCGTAAGATTATGTGCTGGCAGAAAATCACAGACTGGTATTTACTAATGGAGGATTTAAAAATGCTCGCGAATATACATATTGGGATGAAAAGACTCATAACATCGATTTAGAAGGAATGCTCCGTGATTTACGAGATGCTCCAAAAAATGCTGTAATTATTCTACATTCATGTGCACATAATCCCACTGGATGCGATCCAACTCCGGAGCAATGGACTAAAATAGCTGATGTCATACAGGAAAAACAACTTTTTCCACTATTCGACAGTGCATATCAGGTCAATATCTAAGCAAGCTTAATTATGATACATATTTTTATAACACGCTTTAGTAAATCTGAACATTGATTCTTAATAGGGTTTTGCAAGTGGAGATTTAGACAAAGATGCATATGCTGTACGAATGTTTGCCGAACGGGGAATCGAATTCATCTGTACGCAAAGTTTTGCAAAAAATTTTGGATTATACAACGAAAGAGTTGGTAACATCGTGTTTGTGTTGGCCGATACGAAGGAGATAGTTCAAATTAAATCACAATTAACGTTAATTATCCGAGGAATGTATAGCAATCCTCCTAATCACGGTGCTCGAATTGTTGCGACTGTACTGAGGAATCCAGAGCTCTTTGAGGAATGGTATTGATTTGTCAAATCTATAAAATATAAAACACCGAAAAACACGTGTATTCTAATTACTATAATAATGCGATTTGATGTTTTAGGAAAGATCATATTAGAACAATGTCTAGTAGAATTAAACAAATGAGAGTAGGCTTGCATCATAGACTGCTCAACGTAGGTACCCCAGGTATTTGGGATCATATTATTCAGCAAATTGGAATGTTTTCATATACAGGACTCAATGGTTAGTTGTAAAAATTATATTTTTTGTTTTACAATCACGTGATTTGATAAAACTATGCCATGTTATAAAAAAGTTACCAAAACACGTTTTTCTCCAATTTTCTTTTAGAGAAACAAGTGCAGCATCTAAGAGATCATTATCACATTTATATGTTACGCAGTGGGCGTATCAATATGTGCGGACTCAATGAAAATAATTTGGATTATGTGGCAAACGCAATTAATGAAACGATAAAGCTGTTTCCAGAAGCACAGAACGACTGTACGTGTTAAGATAGAATATTAAAAGTACAACGTAATAAGTAATAATCAAGCATAATAAAAATATGGCAATATTTATATATTTTATACACCAAAGCTGTTCAAAAAGTTTGAACTTTATCTTGGGATTTACTTGCAACTTAGTCAGCACTTTCTCTCCTTCTGAACCCCAAAAATTATTAAGACCAAGTTCGGGAACTTTTTAAACAGCCCTCGTGTATATATGTACCCAATATTAGTAAAAAATAATTTTTATTATTATTAACTAGAAATTGAATTTTGAATATATATAATTATAATAATAAAAATTATTTTTTACTAATATTGGTTATATAAAGTCATGCATTTTGTCCTTATCTGGCTTTGACATCGAATTATATACAGTTATCTTTCCTGTGGTAACGTGTCCTTTTTTTTTTTAACTTTTCTTTACTACAAACTTTTACAAGATAAAAGTACAAAACATTGCAAAGTATTACAATGATGCCAAATTTTCTATGTGTATAAATTATATATCATGCGTATTGTTACATGAAAAATTTTGTTAGATATGTAGTTCATGTTGTTAAAAGTAAAAGTTGTCTAGTAGCTTAGGAAAATTGTTATGCTGTGAAAATTATCAAGTGTTCTAAATTAATAACTGGAAAAGTAAATATAACTTGTTTGTTGTTAGAAATTTTTGCAGATTTTATAATCTATATAATTTCATGATTTTAAACTATAGAATAAAAGATATATACATAGCTTGTGTAGAAAAAGATCTCTATTATAAAAAAAAAAAATTATATATAAGAAAAATATCTTTATATTAAAGTGATAATAGTTTGGATCTATTTTAATAATTATGCCATGTGTGATAAAAGAATTGATTTATATTAAACTTGGATATTTTTTCTTCATAACAGTAATATCGATGTAAATTTATCTAATAGCACTATACAAAAAATAAGAGCACGAAAAGAGAATGTAGTTTATTGATATCGCACGTTGTCGCTACTATAGAACATAGGAAAATAACAATAAATAACATTTAGCGATATCTAGTGATTCTCCAACATACAGTGGGCTTCCTTATAAAAGAGTGTGTACATGTGCATATATGAATTAGAATTATATGTATCTAATTAAACTTTTATGAAAACAAATATATTGATAAACATTAATTGAACAGTAAGCGCAACTAATACACATGAAAAATATCACATATCAGACATATGTATGGTAAAATAGTTTACAATGTGAATATATTTTTGTGATAATTATTCTGTTCCGAAATCAATACCAACCGATAGTCATGGAAAATAGACACATGGTATAGTCAACAGTGGAAAAGGACATTATAGATTAATATAATGTATACAGACATGGTTTAGAAAAGTTGTGTATATATACATAACGTATTTATAGATAACAAGCACATTTTCTTAAATCTGAAAATAAAACGTGTTTTCTCTTTCGTTCCTAAATATAATTTAATGTTTTTATCTAATAATATATATAGATATTTATCGAATATAGTCTAATAATATAAATATATGTATATATATATATACATATATTATACATACTAATGCTGTATAATGTTACATTTAAAATATCAAAGGTGATAACATTGATCATCTCGCTATCATTTAAAAATTTTAAAGCAAACTGGGTAACAAATTTTGTAAAAATTAACTACGACGTACGAGTCTTTCTTTATTAGAATATAAATAGAGGCTCGCCTCGTTCTTCGGCACGTGTTCTGACGTCTTTACGTGGATTTATGTAAACATATATTGTCAAGACTTGATCAAGTCATTCAACTACAAGCAATGCCCCGTGTGTTCGTTAAGGATTTTCTTACTCCGTCCACTTGGATGCTTTTTTCACTAATACCACAGTGTCGTCTGATTTAACTAAAGTACGATAATCGTTCCTCTTTTGATTAAAATTCATATAAAATATGTATCCTGAACAACCCAACATTGCCATAACACCGAGAATCATAATGGTTTTGTTCTGCAATCAACATCATTTTATTAATGACAATATTAACAATTTAATAATTTAACAATATCGGCTACGACTCACGTTCGAGAAGTTGTACCGATTGTCAAAGTTTTATAATCTTACCGGCTTGGTATACAACTCGAAATTAACGGCGCGGAATAACGTAGTGCTCCGTAATGATCGTAAACCATCACCTGGTGTTGTTTCACGAGTATTTTTATTTTTATTCATCGCGTTATCTTTCAGCTGCAAAGTTTTACATTCACCTTCCTCAGTCGTCCACGGTCCACACCACCGTCGTCCGATCAGAGACACACTTATGTCCTTACGTATGTCTAATCGTGTGTAATGTGTAAATAACTTAACCTAATTTGGAGAGAGATCTATTTAGATTTAGGTCTTAACGTCGACGTCGGTATCCTCTGTCTTGAACCCATTCAATGATTTAACCTGTCTTACCTGTCTGCGAAAGGATTAAGGAATGCTTATAGCAGAGAGAGAAGGAAATCGGCCGGTTTATATGCATGTATTTATTTGACAGCATCAAATGAACCGCACCGCACCCGAAATCTCTCTCTTATTGGCTGCAAGATAATTACGGAGTTGAGAGTTGCGGCCATGTTACGGCGTACGCGACACACGCGACACGTAGATCGTTGCGTTGCAGTCGTTGCAGATCGGTAGAATCCTACCAACACACATACTTCGTGATATAAGAAAGCTTGACAATATATTTATTTGCGCGCTAAGTTGAAGAGTTTCTTAACCCTTGCGAATTTAATAATGCGAATGTTTATGAGCGGTATTGTCATCTTTTGAGGGGCGTTATATGTTGTATTAACTACATCCCTCGGAATGGGAATGAAGCTAATGTAAAAAAAAGGGTAAGCAGAATTGTAAATTTTTTATAATATATCGTCGGACGGCGCAACGTGTTGTTTTTAAAAACACGTCAAAAGTATGCAAGTAGAAGCCATTTCACGTGCATTTCCTCTGCATTTAAAACGAAATAGATCTATTGTCACACTTCTTTGTAGAGAGATGAGAGGAAAGATATATATATGTATACATATATATATATATTTATTTATTTATTTATAGACGGATAGATGTACTCTTTAATTTGTGAAATAATGTCCTTTTTATAAAATGCCGTATCTGGTTGCTATCTGGTTTTTTGTGCTGCTACACTATGATTTGTGACATTATTCCAACTTTGCAGGTTATTCTTCATTTGACTGACCATAAAAATGCCAGGTTGTGCGGCTGTTGGTTGCAACAATCGCAGTGAAAAAGGATACATCATGAAATGTTTCCCTCGCGATCCAAAATTGAGAAAGATCTGGCAGGATCGCGTCGCAAGAGCCGATTGGGAACCATCTAACAATTCCTTTCTGTGTCACGTGCATTTTGAACCTAAGGAATGGTCTGTAACCGAAAATGGTAGAATCAGACTAAAGAAGAATGCCATCCCATCTATCTTCACTGTAACGTCAACTAGAAAATCTGCCAAAAAGCGTTTCAAGTTAACCACGGCCAAGAATGAAAACGTATGTGAAAACGATTATATGACAGAGTCTTTGGAAAATGATACTGAACATTCGTCGATTGGCCGCTTGGAAGAAAAGGATTCTGATTCGCAGGATGTCGATAATCCTATACCATCTATACCGTCGTTCGTATATCAACAAGCAAATCATTCTCCAATAAAGATAGAAAATAAACAAGCATTTTACGGTCAGTATATAGATATTATGAACGATCTTCAACAAGAAAATATTATTATAATTTCAGATGATAATAATATGGAGATGGAGAGTAATGCCAAGGAAAACGACGCTGGAAAAGCAAGCGCGGAGAATAAAAAAACTGTCGGTGATTTTATAGCAAATATAAACTCAACTGGTAACCAGAATGAGACGGTCGCTGTAAAAACAGAAATAAAACGAGACATCGATCAGGTCTTCGATGATACTTACGACGAAATAGAAGAGAAATTGAAGCAAATTTGCGACGGTCACCGCGAAGAGAACAATATATCTAATATGGAGGTGGAACTAGATTCAATCTCTAGGAATCGGAAAGGAACTTTAGAGAAACCAGTAATGCAAATGCCATTTCACAAAAGTATTAATTATAAATATTCGTCGAGGAATGAACGTGGAGAGATGCTTACGGACAATAGAGATAATATCGAGATTATCTTTGGTAGTGAAAGCGGAGAAGACGTTGCACGTGTCCCTAGGTGTACATTTTACAACAGTGGAACTAATGACGTTGATAAGCTGGATCAACGTACCACCAATGGCGCGTATATTGTTGATAACAAAGAGATCGATGAAACTTGTGGATACACGGAAGAAGCTTTCAGCAGAGAGAATGTATATGTTGCGTCAAACCTGAAGACCGCTGTAAAGTGTAAACGGAGAACACGAGATGAAGTTATGAAATCTATAAAAAGGTCAGTTCAAAATGCATCTTTCCCGGATACAAATTCTATGAGTAACAGCGATACTTCGGACATCGTGGAAGTAGAAAATGAAGTAAGAAAGGAACTGAATGTTGTATCTGAAATTGCGCAATACAACGAAGACGATATTATATCGGATACGACAAAATTCACAGTCAAGGTGACGGGTGATCGCGAAGATGTATTTGATATTATGCAAGATTTATTTCAAGATACAAAAGATTTTACCATTGAAGAACATAAACAAGAAGATAATACTTATTTACAGCAAAAAAATAATGCACCTGTTACATCTATTATAACAATAGACGATTATCCGATAGAAAGAACGTCTACGGACAAACGCAACAACGATATTTTTCCGCCAAGTATTGCGCCAAGAGACAATGATCAAGTATCATTCGTTTTGTCAACTTTAAAAAATGATGAATGTCTGACCACAAGGTTACTGCCACCGCATATGGACGAAGAGAAGGGTTTAGACATAAATAATGCCATTGACAGCGTTATCGGACACGCGACGACCAATGTATATACTAATAAATGTGAAGACAAGAAATTACAAGAAAAAGTGAAACTGCAAGAGACTGTTATCGGACAATTATCTAATCAACTCATTTTGCTTAAGGACTTGGAGAAAAAACTGCAGAATAAAAATTTGGTGCTTAAAGCAAGGACGAAGAAAGTAGAAAGAAAGATGAATGACGTGAACAAAAGTACGACGGGCACACCATCTTCAACGAGCAACAAACAAACGGACATGAGACAAAGGTTGATTTACGATTTATCGAACAGAATGAGTAATCTTGAAGAGACGAATAAAAATTTAATGAAAACTATAACTATAGAATGTCAACAAAAAAGGCAGCTGGAGAGCCAAATCAAACAAAGAGACAAACGAATAAAAGAGCTCAACTGGAAATTGGAGAAGGCTTCGAAATATCTTGAGCGAGCGGAGAAAAATACCAACACATATAAGAGGAAGATGTTAAATATGCAAACTTTTATGAGAAGAAAGAAGCTCTTGGACGGGAATACGAGTAGATTTCATGAAATTATGATAGATAATATGAAGGAAGACTATTCCGAGAGAGTTCTAACAATGGCGATAGAAATTAAAGAAATCTGCGGTACAAATGGATACAACAAGTTGTTAAATTACGGATTTCCACTTCCAGCATTGTCGGTTTTGCAAGCTCTCCCGAGTGACAGGATCTCCGATTCCAGTAAAACTAATAACAAAATTCGACAAGTGATCTCTTTAAAACAAAATACGAACGAAGAAGGCGATACTCAGCCTATGGAAAGCGACGTGGAAATTTATACCCAGTATCATCATGCGGAAAACGCAACACCGCTTTGCGGAGAAATCGTGATGGACAATACGGAAACTGTAACAGGCACGGTTCAAGATATTTTTGAGGAAAGTAATGACGACGTGGATGATTTCAGTACAAATGAATTGAAAGAACATTTTATTTTACAATTGAACGCAGTTATGTAATGATGAATTAATTGCATGCATACAAAATTACATATTAATATCTTTTATCTTCGAATATGTATAATAGTAATACAACAACACAACACACATCAATAATGTATAAGAGGTTTATGATTTATGGATATATCATTGTGTATAATAATCATCTCTAATATAAAATGCTATCAATACTATTTATTGTACAATGATGAATGATGTCACACGCATTGTAGCACTGATGAATCTTACTTCGGATGACTTTGTGTCTGAGCAAATACATGTACAAATCTTTTTAAAAGTGCGAAGTAAAACTACACTTTTCTCATAAAACTTTTTTTTCTCTCAACTTAAATGATAAGTTGTTATATTAAACTGTTATTTACAACCTTCGTTCAAGTTTCTGTATTTATTTCATTTTTCGCGATTGTGTACATACAAACGAGGGGTGGGGCAACTGGGGCATCTATCAAACTTTATAACAGCGAGTTGCAAAGTCGACGTATGTACCCTTGATCTCTGATTCGACTTCGGTGAGTGAATAACAATAGATGTAGATACACTTTACCTATTATTTTAATTAGAAATTGAATATTAAGAGCTGCGCCTTACCCTGTAATCGCATTAAAAGTTTGCTCTTGGCATAAAATAAAGCGAATCGACCCTTTCGAGCGGTGCAGTAGCTGCATCAAGCTGCGCTGCAGGCCAACGACTTGAACAACCAACAACGTTTCTATGGCGACGTTTTTTCAGCTACCAAACCAAAGTATCAAGTATCAAGACTACCAAGTACCATCATAGCATGAGCTTGAGTTACCAGCTAATAGCTATCAGTTTATTCATACGAACGGAAGCTATCGCGTTAATATTCTGTGCTGCTCGCGAATCTCGCGATAAACAATATTCAACGCGAATATACGATCGCGTTTTAGTTACATTTTACGTAAATCATCTATTTAAATAAATGGCGACAGCAATCAAAGATCAACGCACAATTCCCGCTATGGACACGCTGGTCAAGTATGATAATCCAGTTTTGATTACGACTCATCCAGAGAAGGTACGACGAATTTTTATCATCATTTTCTATTAGTGCACAAATTCAAATTTCTCTGAGAAGATGCACGAATACGGAACAATAAATATATAAATAAAAAAAATGTATATCTGCTAACTGCTAATGTATCTTTTTCATTAAACAACAGGTACGTAAGGATTCAGCATTGGCAAAAGTCGGTATAGCTGCTTGTAAAATTCAAACAACCTCAGCTTCAGCTGATACACGACGGGAAACTATTGAAATTTTAAATAGAATTTTACCGCCGAAGGAATGGGAAGAGGATGGCCAGATATGGACTCAACGTGTAAAATTAGATAAATTTTTAAAAAAGCTAATCTATCTTTTCAATCTTGCAACGTTGTTGTGTATGTACGATAGTCCACAAATGGCTATATTATTTAGGTGTCGAGTACTCCCGCAACACGATTAGACGTGATAAATTTGCAAGAGCAACTTGATATGCGATTGCAACAAAGACAGGCCAGAGAAACCGGTATTTGTCCCGTTCGTAGGCAGCTCTATGCCCAATGTTTCGGTATAAACACATTCGTATATATAGATAACTCATAAGCTTTATGTCTAATACATGGGGTAAAAATTGAGATAAAAATACACATTTGAGTAAATATATATTGTCGTATAATTATTACACGTTTCAGATGAATTAATACGGCAAGTAACTGTAAACTGTGCCGAACGTGGATTACTTTTATTGCGAGTAAGGGATGAAATCAAAATGACATTAGCCGCGTACCAGACATTGTATCAAAGTAGCATCGCTTTCGGGATGCGTAAAGCGCTGCAAGTACCTATCTCTTTCTAATATCACATCGTACATATCTTTCCAAGTTTATATAAGCTCGTCATCAGGCTTGTCGAAATACATTTTGCTTTTGTTTACAGTCTGTAAAATTTAGCATACGATGGTTGATAAAAAAAGACCTTACTTTTACAGGCCGAGCAAGGTAAGGAAAATTTGATTAATACAGCCGAGGAATTGAGATTACAAAAAATTGATTTGGAGAAAACGGTTGCGGAATTAAGGCTCAAGTATGATCAGTCTGAGAAAAGATCGGCCGAATTAAGGGAAGCGGAGGGAAAAAAACACATGGAAGAAGTGCAGTTTCTTAAAAAGACAAACTTGCAATTAAAGGTAAAAATATTTATTTCATTTTGAAGCAGTAAACAAAGCCGCAACAAGATGATCGCGTTAAATTATTTTTAATTTTAATAGATATTTTCCAACCATAATAACTGCGCGCCGACTAATTGTCAGACTTGCAACACACAATTAGATAAGAGATAAGACGAGAATTAAAATATGAAAAATTCTTTCATACTTGTTTACCTTCGTCAAAAATCGTCAAAAAAAGAGAGAATATAGAGAGAGAGAATCTGATAATAAACTAAATATGATTCAACATTTTGCGTCTGTAGATACATGCATAAACACTGATATTTTAAAATGCATAAAATATAGATATATATTCAGATCGAGCTACATAAATACAAATGTTTTTAAATGCTTAAGATAAAATAATATAATTGTAATATACACATTTTGCAACATGTATTTTTTATTTGCATATTTTATATAGACATATTAAATGCGACTGACTAAGCTAAACTATTATTCATGTATTATTGTAAAAAATACATATAAACCAATTATATATACCAATTATAATTTTCAGACGCAATTGGAAGGTATAATTGCATCAAAAAAGTGAGAAATTATCACGCGAAGAGAATCTTCACTTATAAAACAGTTTATGGTGACTACAATACATGTTATCTATACAAGAATTATGTGTGTGGGTGTGTGTGTTGTGCACTGGCGCACTCCTATGCAGTTGCTAATAATTAACAAACTTGCATGTAATATGTAACATGTAACTGTTAAACAGGAATGAAAAAAAGTATACTCCGTCCAACAAGAGATTATGGTTGGTTCTGCGCATAGGCGAGCAAAGTGGAGGTAAAGTTCCCAGAGCATGGCGTATCGTATACATAAATAGATGTTCTGATCCAAAATAATCTCTCGTTAGACGGAGTATATATGAGATTCCAATAAATGCACTTCCTATGAATAAAATACCAACTATTTATTACAAATAGGTGCACAAATTATTTTTATTTTTACATAAATATTTTATGTTTTAAAATCCTAAAATCTTGGTAAAATATCTTAAAAGATACATTATTGCTTCTTACCGTAATGTAAATTTGTAAATTTTCAATTTATCATAATAGTAAACTCACAGAAAAAGAATATAAAATATAAACTTAATGTAACACTTAATATATAAATACAAAAAGAGCCTTTTGCCTTCAAAATGCAACGCTGTTTATGAGAGAAAAAGGTATTTCATCTATTTCATAAATAATAAAGAATTCGAAAGATAGATTTATATGAAAATGAGGAAAAAACTAAGAAAACGATTCATCGCCTGTACAATTATTTTTTTTTCATCAATTTTGACTTTTCTATTAATCTATTTCATGTTTCATATCGTGCATCTCGTATTGTATTAAGATATATATATATATATATATATATATATATATATATGTATATTCGGCATTTTTTACATTTCTCCATAGTTTTTCAAATTTAGATAGTAATAAAGAAACAAAAAGTTAAAGATGATTTCATTAAAACATAGTTAATACATAAGTAATAAATAATTTTATACTTTGCAACATTTTAAAACCAAAATATGTTTAACGTTTAAAGTTAGACGCATTTTTAAATCCAAAACTTTGATAGGCAAGAATCATATCTTGCTTATAAGGCAATACACACACACACACACACACATATATATATATATATATATAGATTATTAGATATTTGATCTATGTTGTTACACGTTACACGATAACGATGCATTACCGTGACAAAGTAAAATTGAGAAGGCAGCGAGAGACAAGAGACAAAAATTTTTCATTAATTTTGTGTGATAATAGATATTTTAATGATACATAATATATTCTTATATGAAAAAGTACTAACGCGTTGGCACTTTTGATAATATTCCTATAACATCGATAATATGTAATTTTCTACAACATTGATAAGTAAATATTGATTTTTAAAATGATGGTATATTAATAAATAGTTTGTGTGTGTGTGTGTGTGTATATATGTGTGTGCGCGCGCGCGCGCTTGGGACAGTTAAAGATAAAACATTTCAATTAGATAGATTGATTTTATTGTTAGTGTTTAGTGAAATAAAACTTTTGTTTTTTTCTCCACTCGCTTATATATGCCCATTGTTAGTTTGATGTGTGATACTCTGTAGGCAAAGTTTTAACTCTCCGTTACATTCGTCATACATTATCGATAATATAGTATCTTTCAAGTGCCTTTCTTACATAATGAACGAGCTTACTTGATTTCATTCATTGGTCCCTCATTTTTAATCGCACTTTAAACAGCAGATAATCGCAATTTCATTTAATTTTACTTATTTACACTTGGAAAATCCATATCTATTCACATTGTCTATCAAATAAATATATATTTTTAACCGCTTACTTTTTGGATTAATAATGTAAAAAAAATGTTCGGTATAAAATAATATTCTTAAATCTAAGACAATATTAATATTACAAATACATTATGAATGATAAATTACACAAAAAGTGTGATGTCTTAAATTTTTCACAGTCTCGCGTACATGTACTAAAAATGCAAAGTATGAAATATGTATGGAAGCAGATGCAAAATTTGTTCTGATTAAACATTAAAATGATCAAACTGTAATAATCTACGTTTATCCCTGATTTTTGGGTAGCTCCTCAACACGAATAATCTGCAATAAAGTAAACTGAAATTTGATATTTTCTTATTTGACTCAAATATAAATTTGTTTTTCTTACAATAATCTATTTCAGATCAAAATAAAATCTTTCTAAAAGTTATATATTAAAATCAAATAAATAAAATATTCTACAAACATAAGATAAGCCCATTGGTCAATCTAAAGTCTATAATTTAAACATTGTCTCAGCAACAGATTACCTATAATGCACTTTACATGATATTAGCAAACCAGTTATAGAAATAACAATTTAAAACACATTTCATCATGTTTCAATGAATATAAATAATCAGTATATGACAATGGACGTTTTAAGAATGTTATACTGCACACGATTATAAAACATAGTCGTAATTATGTATGTAACATTATAATTGCATAGTTTTATCACATCTTTAAAGCATCTTTCTAAAGAAACGATTATAAAAATTTTCGAAGAATTTTATAGAAAAACGGAAGAGCATGTCTTTTATCATGTATATAATAAAAAAATGCACGGGGGTCTGAAAATTCTTCGCCAGTGTAATATCTATTATGTCTTTTGCCTCAATATTTTCATCGCGTGTACATGTATATAATTGTTACACAATCAAAAGGTAGAATAAAAACGGATTAGATTAAAACATCCGTATATTAAAATAAAATTAAAATATGTAAAAAATCCAAAAAATAATAACAAATGGCATAAATGTTATAATTTTCCGTACGTTAGTTCTTTGTTACTAAAATATTACTTAATTACTTTTCTATTTTTAATCTCTTTTTCTTAAATTAAATTTACTTTATATTCCCCGATGAGTTAGCAAAATTCCAAGTAAACACGAAATTTATGAAATAACACGATGTTCAATATCAAAATATGCAAATTCACCAGTTTCTGTTACACGTTAGATTTATGAAATCGCAACATACATGGTACGTACACAGAATATAATAAAAATGGTGGTTATACATTTCTACACAGAAATAATGGATAATATATCGCTTATTCACTGAAACAATTATGAAGCTTTGTGTAGATACCTGTTACATATTCACTGAAAACAATACGTTTAGATCTAGTGCCAGATCGCCATTTTTGTTATATTCATATTACTAATTTATATAGAGAAAAAGAAAAGGACACTTATAAAATACAGGGACATTTATGTGACAATAACATGTACTGATGCATTAAAAATTAAAAAGAATCGATTGAAATATGCATATAAGTATATATGTATGTCTGTGTTATTTATCTATGCTTATGTAATAAGCATAAATGTATGCATATTCACATAAAACGATATTACACAATGAATTTGCGTAATAGTAAAATATTGGAATAATAAAAAATTTTCGTCGGTTTTTCGATTTAAGTCTATTTAACATCAATGTTTTGTACCTATTCTATCGTTTAAAATACACATAAAAATATTTTGTCAGTGACGACCTTTCTTTGATCGCTTACGTTTTTTCTTTTTTGTAGATGCAACAGTAATATTTTCATTTGTTTTAGCAGAAGTTTCATTCGCAATTTCAGATGTGTCGGTCGTAGGATGAGAATCTGTCTTTTCTTTTACAGTACTAACAGCCATACTTTGTCCCGTGGTATCTTCACTTTCACTTTCAGCATCGCTTGCACCAGTGCCAGTTATACTTTCTATGTCTTCTTCCGCATTGCTTAATTCCAATGATATAATCTTCTCCCTCAAGGTTTCCACCTAGTTATAAAAATGTATACATTGTAAATTTTAATCGTAGTTAATTTTGCGCACGACGTTCTGGATTTATTAAGGCGATCGTGCAAACAGTGCGCGTACAATTTTTTACAGTTTATAACAGAAACAATCCAAAAATCTCGTGGTATCTGTAGACGATATAAATATATTAAGATTTAAAATATGTGTATACAGATCAAATAACATATCACGTTCCATCACACATATGTGAAGACGTCGGCACATACATCAGCCCGCGCTCTTCCGTACTTATAGACTTCACAAAATGAGATTTTAATTTCAATTTTAATGGAAAAGATATGTTAAGTAGTTACCCTAAATGTTTCTTGACTTTTTTTACGCTTTCTTTAGCATAATTCTACCACATCTCTACATGCAATAGAAAGCACATCAAGCATAAGAAAATATGAACAAAATAAATCATGCGCACATTGCATATAGATATAAAGCCATGAGCTTAAAACCATATACCTACATAAAATATATAAAAACCAAATTACCGATGAGTTCAGGAAAAAGTTGTTAGTGAGATCAGTAGAAGTAACATTCATAGTTCACGATGGTGCGTAATGTACCATCGATGTAAGCGATGGAATCTTGAAACAATAACACAATAATAATTGAACAAACAGTACACAGATGTTATATAAATGCACGAAAGCACAAGAGAAAAAAAAAATATTTCTTCTAATATTTTTCGTAATGTATTTTTGTAGCGTAAACGCGCGTGTATAAAATACGGTGAATTTGGGTGATGTCGCCTTACACTTAGGTGCTTTTCAGCATTGTATCTAATGATTTATTTCCTACCGTTTACCCCTAAATAATGTTATCGACAATAGTTTTTTAATCAATCAGTTGTCAGACAATATATGTTAATAATGTATCATAAGCTCGCGAGTATCCCAAAACATGTGCGATCTGGCATGGAATAATCCATCTATACCCGTAAATAAAATAAAAAAATGAAAAAAGAAAAAAAAAAAAACGGATTTAATTAAATATATACGGTGCACTCCAGAGATAGTTGCAACAGTGATAATTTATAATTGTGCTCTTTATTCCCTTCATTTATGTAATAAATGTGGTACTTCGACGCTCGTGCCAAATTTTACAAGTATAATACCTGCCGCTCAATGAGCTTCTCGACGTATTCGACGGTTCGTACACGACGTTCGCCCGTCACCTCGTCAAGATATTCCTCGGTACGCCGAGTGACCTTCTCGTCCACTACTTTCTCGGATTCGCGTATCTCTTTAGGAGGACCCACTTTACTGCGCACAGCGAGCTTAGGAAAATCTGCGCTAGACGGCCGTAACGTAGTAAACTAAGGTAGTAAAAGACAGACAAACGGGAACCGTTGTAATAACATGATTTGTTCCTTCATGAAGGCTGTGTGTTAGTTTAGGCGAGCAAGACAGCGATTAGTAAACAAATGGGTTAAACACATAACTTTGAAATAATCAAGCTTGCAGATTAATTGTCTCTCTTGAAGATTCTTGTGTTATACATGTTAAATTATATAATTAACTTTGCCCTAGGACACTAGACTTCTAGATTTTTACCTCGACTGTTTTCTCTTGATCAGGAGCAGGATCGGTCGCATCAGTCGCATCACGCGTATCTTCTTCCTTATTAGCAGTGTCCATTATTTCACTCATCTTTCTGATTACCATCTGTGCCTGAAGCGCGTCCTATAAAAAGAAAACACGCAACGTATTATTTTATTTAAGACGGATCTATTATCGCAACATTATGTATTTATCGATACATATAAATGTATAGAATCTCTTTTAGCTTTACCTGTTCAAGAGATTTAAGACGCGCTTGTCGCCAAGCAGCACGTTTTTCCGCTCTAAGTGCTCGTTGTTCCGCAGGGCTTAAAAGGTGTTCCTCATCTTCGTCCGAAATAAGACCCTATCATTAAAAGAAAAGAAATTTTGAATTTCAAAAATGACATTGCACGATTAGAGTAGATACAATTACGGTAATTTATATAACTATGTGCTAGTAGATCAAGCGTAACGACTTTGAATATATTAAAGTTTTATTTATAATTTTAATTAAAAATCCTACATCATACATTATCGTTTATCTAATAAATAAATATTGAAATATAATACCTCTTGCATTAAACGTTCTTTCAAACGACGTTCTGCTTTTGCTGTCCGCACGCTGCTGGGAATATTCTGGATAAGAGGGATCGAAGTTCGCGAGCTCAGTCGGCTACTGCAACGAGCATGCATTTTTACGAATGATATATACGCTATATGAACTTTAAAAAGTAAAGAGGTAACATAAAATTAGTATTATTTAGACTTAAATTGTTCGCATTACAAATGTTGCATAAATTTGTAGCGAGTACACGTAAATGCGTTGTATCTATATAAAAATTGTCAGAGACAAATTGTGAGTGCTGCTACTAAGAAATATAATTCAGCTTTTCATATTTTTTATATTTATAAACACTATTAACCGTTTAGACTATAAAATAATATATTTCAAATGTAATTTAATCTTAAAAAGTATTCTTAAATTTAATGGAAACGGGAATCTACTAGAAGCTTTTAAAAGAAAGTTGTTTCTGAACGTGCATCATTTTTATGTAAAACATACGTATACACGTACGGGGGAAAGGAAACTTTTCTAATAGGCCAGTTTAAAATATACCATCAACACTTGAAAAATGAGTCAAAAATCTCAATTTTCGCACCGTAACCATAAATTAATCGTTAATTGTTTGAATACTACGGAAACTATTCGACAGCTCGTCGAAGATTTCGACAGTCTAGTACGTTGCAAGTCCATGCCACAAGGCAAAGATTAATAAATTATTATATTTAATAGATTATACATATAAATGCCCCCCGTTGATCCGTGCGTAGAATATATAACGTAATACGTAGTTTACGTTTCTTTCGAAATAAGGAATGATTTAAACGTGAATGTTGAATCTTACTTAGGTCGTCCATTATCCTGATCATCCATTGTATCTAAATCTTCGAGACCTTCGTTTTCATCAAGTTGTGCCCATGATTTGAGTTCGTCTCGCGTTAAAGTTGCAATTTTCTTTTCTACAACAGAAGAAGGTTTTTATAATTATTTTCAAGCATCAAAATAAATGACGTAATATAAAATAAAAATTTGGTACTTAAATAATATAATACAGAGCTACATATATATTTACAAGTAAGAGCTTACCTTCTTCTTGTCGCATTTTTTCTACTTCGTCCTGACTTAAAAAACTGAATATTTTATCTGTAATATATACACATACATACATTATACGATTATTGATTATTAATCATGTATAATTATGATATACACAAACAATATATGTATATTCTCACCTGGTTTAGGCGAGGGTTTCAAATGTTCTTCCATGGCACTTTCAAATAACTTCTTTTTATCGCTGACTGACATTTTCGTCAATGGTGGTGTTGGAGATGAGGTTGGAGATTGCTGTATTTGTAACATTTACACAAGTAAATATCGTTTGACGTATTTTTTTTTATATAGAACAGTTGTAAGCGATAATTATTTCAAATAAAAGAAATCACACATTGGATCTATCCTACATGCTATAAATACATATTATAAATAAAATAGACAAGGCTGTGGTTTGGATTAAAGAAATTTATAGTAATGCTTTCACAGGATTTAATTAATATAAAATTAATTTCTTAGATTATAGCAAAAACTTGGTCCGTATGTTTCTACATTCACACACGCACATACACGCGCGAGCGCACATACATACATATTAATATGTTAATTAGTTAGACATGCTTTTGAAACCCACCTCAACCTGAAAATTTCCATCAACAGAACGTGCTATCTGTCGCTTGCTAAAAGAAGCCGAGATGTCAAGGTTTTCCCAGTATTCGGGAGCAGTTAGAGGTGTTGGGGGAAGTTGGAAACGTGCAGGTGTTTGATAGGAAATAACTTGTGGTAGGGAAGTAGATGTTTCCTGCAATGGCCGAATCGATTGTTCAATTTTAGATAATGTAGGCTTAACATGGGACGGATAATTGATGGAATCAGAACTTTTTTTTAAAGACGGTGGCAGATCGGCAAACGTAATACTGCGTTTTGGCAAAGATTTTTTTTTCGTTCGAGAAGGTAAAGTTTGCATAGAAGTAGAACGTTCAAAATTTGCTGCCTTAGGAAGATCAGGGATCGTAGATGACTTGGACGAAGAAAAATCCTTTGATGTTCCAGATGTCTCATTTGTTCTTGACTGGGTAAATAACATGGAAAATTATATTAATTACTTAGTTAGTGGAACATGGCTTAAACTGAGATAAAATAAAATGGTTCATCTTAAAGTACTCAATTACATGCAAAGCAACCAACAACATACTGCTATTTAATTAATATATATTACAACACAAAATACATATATACTGATTATGTTCCAACACCACCCTACTAATCTATAAAATTGTAGTTTATGAAACGCTTCTTCAATTTCTTTAACGATAAAATCGTTATTTACTTTTATGTCATAGATAAACGATAAAATTAAAAATAATAAAATAAAACATTAATATAATAGATCATAAAATATGAATATCCTTAAATCCTTTGATAATTAGACTTTAAAACAGATTTATTTCACAAATGCTACATGTCATACAAAATCTATATAGGATTTAAAGAAGAATTTCAAACTTCTTCGTCCGATCATCTTTTTTGCTTATGACTGTCTATACGTTCAATAGTGTATCTTTCAATTGTACTATTATTGCAATAAATCATGCAACGTTGCGCATAATTTAATTTGTAAACATATGATCGGTATGTTAAACACGTTCTTTCATTTTATAAAGTTATATCCTATATTTGTACCCTATTCATCGTACGTATCGATGTAGTAGTGGAGACTGTTATGTATTTCGAATACTTTGGGACACCTAGCTAGTTTCGTCTCACTGTGTTACCCTGCGACCGTTAACTGGGCTATATTTTCTATCCTGTAGAATAATTCAAAGTGTATGTGTTGCATTTCCCTTTAAATTACATATTTTTCTATAACATTGAAAATATATTTGTACCATTCAAACGTAAAACTTTGTATGTTTTATTTACTTTTATTGCTTCACACCTACATCACTTTTCAATACTTAAGTAAATCCAAATAAGCATATTTGGGAATTTTTGCTTTGAAACAATCTTCGATCTTTATATTCGATCTTCTTGAACTCTACTGTTAAAGAACAAAAAAGTATGTTTTGTTCGAAAGCCATAAAAATCTTATTTTATTTATTTGTTGGACTATAAGAAAAAGGACGTAGACAGAAAAGAATTTGATTCTACAAAAATTGTTTTGTAGAATAAACAGTCTCCTCTACTGTAGGATATTATATGAAACAACGTAGTATAAATCGGTTTCTTTAAGTAAACTCTATCTTACAGTAAAATAATATACCCTCCAATTATATATACACATATATGTATATTCTCTCCCTATCTAAATATATAGTTATGAAAAAAAAAGTATCTTGTACATTTCACAACAGGGATAACTATAACTTTCTGAAAACTTTTGTGCATAGGCAGATTATTTTAAAAACATCCAAATTTTATTCCTACGCCGATCAACTGGAACTTTAACATTAACATCTTTCAGATATCTTTAAGTAAATATTAGCTTATCTGATAGTTTGTAATAATATATAAACATCTGGTCCATTAGAGTTATATGAACATATAATGCTTATAGAAAATATATTGATACATTGATTCAAATTTCAATAATGATATGACTTAATTGTAGTACTAATATATATACTGTCAAGGTTATTAATAAGTCTAACTGAGACAAAGGCCAATATTCAAAACACGCTCATAACATGGTTATAACTCTTAACAATAAAAGATTTTTTTTCTCTCGTCAAGGTTTGCACACGTCAAGTTGGAACGGAATAATAATAATATTATTTTATAGCGTAAAATAGTTAATCATGCGTATTTACGTTATTATACCTTTTCAAAACAGTCGATCTTGTCTGATATAAAAATGATAGTAATTGATAGTATAAACTTCAACTATTTTTTAAAAGTCTAAACTTGATCTAAATAAATTAAATAAAAAGTTTGGTAGAAAAAACGAAACATTACAGTCAAAATAAAGAGTGCAATATGTCATAATACTTACTATATATATATATATATATATATATAATTACATATAATTAATAAAATTAATAGTTAATAATTTTGTGCATCAAATATAATATTATAATAATAAAGCACATTATTATATACTTCTTCAAAGTTAATAACAATACTAATATACAGATGATAATCCAACTATGAAAAATTATATATATATATATATATATATATATATATATATATATATATATAAATTGTTTAGCCTTTTAAATTATTTAATCAATGTATAACACATAATACTTGTGTTCAAGTTAAAAGTTTATACATTATAAAAGTTTTAAAACACTTATAACTTATTCCTGCAAAAAGTAACAGTAACCGTTAAATAAACTAATCATTTTTTTTTTCAGTGCTCTCTATCATTAGAAAACGTAAATACGTAGATATGTAACGTTGAGTACATAATAAAATTTCATTATTTAAACGACCGAAATATTTACATTGGAAAGATTTTCATTAATCTGACTAGAAAATTTCTAAAAGCTTGTGTTTATATAGACTTTTGTTATATTAAAAAGTTAATTCTTGTATCACAAATTGCCTATTTTTAGTGGTCATTCATTCGATAGCTGGGAAAAATCACCCAATGATTAATCGAGATTAACTGTAGCAATCATATCTTATATGTATCGTACATTACCAAATTCACTGCAAACGAATGTATGCATTAATATGCAAATGTTACTTTTAAAAAAACTCGTTAAATATATGAGAAATTTTTTACTACAATTTATGTCTAACTATCACAGAAATATCTCTTTTGTTATTTCATATCTATGAATAAATGAATTATATACATAATATATGCACACGCACACGCACGCACACACCCACACACACACACACGCGCACACACATATATGTATATATATACGCGTAATCGGATAAGATCACATTTACGCGTCACGCTTTTTTTTAAATACTCATCCTATTTTCATCAAAGCAAAAAATTAATTAATTATATATGTAGATTCAACCCAATCATCAGCATATTTTCAATAATACTTAATGTTGTAATGGCAGTATTAATAACAAATGGAGTAACAATAGCTATGCTGTGTAACAGTAGACATACTAGTAGACATATAAAAATGCAATAAACCATGATTATACGCGAGTTAATGCCAATTCTTAAATTCTTAGAGAATGTTTTGTTATGGCATAGTCCTGCGGAATCAGAGGCATGGACGCAGACACAGGAAAAATGAGTAGAAAGATGAACGACTCACTCCTGTTAGAGGGCAGCCAAAGTAGCACTATCATCTTCCACTGTCTGTAAACATGTGAAATATCTCTCTTTTTGGCGCTCAGGAGATCATGCGATGCTAAAGACAATTGACAACTGTACATTTCATGCGCCATTTAAGAGTACCTAATGAACGTATGTGATAAGTAGGTCATATTTACATGATGATTTACGAATTCCATGAAAATGTTTCGGTTCCTATTGCAAACAAATGTTAATACGAAAAATGTATATAATATTTAGAGACTTGAAAAGATTATGTTAGGTCAAAAAATTATTTCCAGATAAAACCTGTGTGAGAATAAGTTCATTTAAACGTTTCAAATTAAAACATTTAAACATCTTCTATTTTAAACGTTCTTATTTTATTAAAACTGAAGCTACTATTGTTTCATAACAATAAAATAGTTCCTTAATAATAAAGAAATTTCTCAAGAAAAAATTCTGACAATTCAATTCTGTGAAAAATGCAACAAGCATTTAAATAACTTTTAACATAATGAAATATAAATAAATTTTTTTTCTCTTCTCTTCCACTCCCCCCCCCCTCTCTCTCTCTCTCTCTGAATTTTCACATTTCATGCAGAAATGCACATTCGTGTGCAGTTACATTGTATTGTCAGAATTAAATTTAATAGTATTAGAATGCTCATAAAAAATAATAAACTGACAATTAATTTAGCTATCAAGTCTAGTTCAAATCTCTCTGGCAAATTAAATGTTTTATAACAATATTATAAATTCTGTCCATTAATTTATACCTCTCCATCTCTTTCCAATGTTTAAAATTTGCACTTGATAAATAAATTTAGATTTATACGTATTTTATTTTGTAGATTAGCAGTAAAAAAGTGACGAAACAGAAATAAACACAAACGATACATTATTTTCGTGCAGAAAGCCATGCGGAACATACAAAAGAAAAACAATGCCAACGATAAATCAAGATTTATTAATTGTTGACTATTAGATATAAAGCTATTAGAAATAAAATTATCCCATGCAATACATCATAAAAAAGTCACTATAGATCCGTTATTTATTTATATGTAGGATAGACTTATGAGTAAAAATATTTTGTTCGTTTTTAATTACAATATTTAACCAAATAATAAACAAATAAAACTATAAGAAATGCGCAAAATAAACTATTAAAAGGAGTGGTGTTGAATTCTTTTTCAAGTAAATATCACAAATTAAACAAAAAATCTATAAGGAAAAGATGATTTTGGGACATTTAGTATATCACGTATATACAAGAGACACGCTACATGTACTGTTACATCTGTTAAAAAATATATAATGTAATACTTACGTTATTAGGATTTTGAGGTGCTAGTGTATGTTTACTCATAACAATCGTGGTAGTTTTGAGATCTTTAGTGCCCCCGGGTGATTTTGGTGGTACAACCATATCAACAGGGCTGTTTGATTTGCTTACTAATGATTCTGCCGCACGTACAACGTCCATTACCTATATATCAAAGCCAGAATCAAAAAGTATAAATAAAACAAATTAAATTATCACATATGACCAATTTAGAATTTCTGAAAATACACTTGTAAGTCTTTGTAAATTACATTCGTTTTATAAAATAATTGCATCTTTTGCAAAAATTATAGCTTTCTGTGCAGTAGTCGCTATACACTTTTGAATGTAGATCATAGCAAATTTAAAATTTCGAACGTTTGTATTAAAAAAGCATAAGAATTCACAATTTAATGAAACTTATCGTGTACAAATAAAATAATCAAGTCTTACTTTTTCAGGCGTGGATTTCTCTCTTTGCTCTACAAGCGCACGTTCTCGTTCTTCTTGTTCCCAGGCAACAAGTTCCGCTTTCATCTCTTGTTCTTGTCTAAGAATCGCAGCTTCCTCATCATCTCGGTCTAAACTGGATACACTTTGTGACAGAGATTTAGTATCATCCGTAGTTGGATCTCTAGTTTCGTGAGACCCTTTAACTCCTTTATCATCGGATAATGTTAATATTGATTCAACGTCACTTTTATCGTATCCTTTACACACAACCAACGTAATAGTATTCCCTGAACAGCGAAGAATGTTGACTGCTTCTTGATGAGTTGCACCTAATAATGATGTGCCATTGACTTCCAGTAACCTCATTCCAACCTATTATAAAATATATAAACTTAAGCATAAATTAAATATGTTAAAATAAGAAGATATATAATATGCAAATATTACAAATATATACTCTTACCTTCAATCGTCCGTCCCTTTTAGCTGCACCACCCGAATTAATCTTCGATATAAAAACGCCCTCATCGGTATGATCCAAAGGATTGCCTTTCTGTCCTCTTCGTCCTCCTTTAATGTGCATACCAAGCTTCTCACCTGCTTCCTTGGTTATTACCAACTCCTAAAACAAGTTACATCAATTCTCTTTATATAAAATAATTTACTATTTTTTTGGTTTTAGAATTCTTAGACTATCGCATAGAAATATAACGATAAAAAACATTACGCACACACAAAACTATAATATTTATTGTTATTGTTATTTAACTATAAATAATCGTCTTTCATTTCAAGATATACTATTGTATGTACAATAAATTATTTAATTTCAATACTGAACTTTGTGCATATTTTAACAGTATTCTTTAAACGAGTGAGTTTTAGAGGAATTCAATATTAATATTTAAAAAAACTGCAGAAACAGGTCAAGTACGATTAAATTTCTGTAGAGTAAAAGTCATATTATTTTTATTTAGCATTTAATACTAGTGGCATGAAAGCACGGTGAAGCATAAAAAGCATTTGAATATAAAGTCTCTTGTACGTATGTGAAATTGCACGGCATAAGCAAAAAAGCGAGTTTATTCATTCATTATAATATAAAAGTGAAATTTGCAGCCTTGGTGTAGGGATAAGCATAAATGAGAACAAAAATTACGGTCATGTCAAATGCATCGAGTACTTACTGTCACAGGAATGTACTCTATTTCGACCAGCTTGTGGGGCAAATTATAAAAAAAAAACTGCATTAGGTAAGGAAATGATCACACGCTGAAGCACCGAGTGCTATTGTGTTCACAACAAGCATTCCTTGAAAACGTTAATAAAATGAGGAAAAAGAATTTTTTGAAAAATTACTTTATTAATAAAATGCCTATAATTCTAATTGTAAGCATAAAAGTTAAAGTGATTTTTTTCTCTAAGGAATAATTTCTCAAATGTGCACGTGTTTGTAGAAAATTGAGAATAGTAAGAAGTCATTGGTACTAATTGTGTTGCATACTGAATAAATATTTCAAAGATGCTAGTAATACTACGTATATTTTTTTTAAAGAAACACAAATTATCGTATATATAATATAAACATAAAATATGTTTGTCAAGTGACAAAAAGAATATGTGTTATTTTGTGATATATAACTGCACACACATAAAGTTATATTTAATTTGTAGACTTACAGCTCTAAAAGCATCACTAACAGCTGTTTAAAAGCACGGTCACGTTGAAAATGTAAGTGTATTATTTACCTGGTAACTTTCTGGAAGTGGATCATGTTGAATGGTAAGCACGATCTGATCGCCTGGTCTTAAAAGTTCCATTACCGCTTCTTGATGCGTAGCCTTTGTCACATCTGTACCATTCACCTTCAATATTCTGTCACCCATTCTCAGTTTGCCGGATTTGGCTGCTATGCCACCAGGAACAACCTGGCATATAAACATATAGTACAGTTATATAAAAATAAATATCTACATATATACAAGTATATAAAAAGTAATAGATATTCCACAGTGTAAAGTAAAATAAATAAAACTAGAGTACTAGACTCACTTACGTGAGATATAAAAATTCCCGGTTCCTTTGCACCGAATGGAGTACACGAGTGATCGGTTCCCCCTATGATGCTGAAGCCTAAGGAACCTTCTTTCACAAGGACAACATCCTAAACAATACGTACTAAATCAGTTGCACATTCAAATAAAGGTTTTAATTTTGTAAAGTGCCAAAGATTTTAACCAGAACAAAAGTTTAGAGTGTATAATATTTAGTATGTGAAGGATAGAACAAGCTATGGATTTTTATAGACTTTTTACTAAAATAAAACAGTGACAACGATACTTCTCCACTTACTCTATCTTGTTAAGACGGGTATGGGACGAAACAAATCTTTACACTACTTACCTCGTCCCATGTCAGAAGATAAAACAGACTGTGATTATCATAGTCCATCGATAGTTATCAAAATTGATTCCAAGATCATCCCATTAATATATTCTTTTAAATAATTTTACAAAAATATAGAAAAATAGACATAAGAGAGAAATATAATTGAGCAAAAGTCCACATACGCATATAAAGAAATCAGTTAAAAAGATACAAATGTTCAAACATGCATAAAATAACTATAGTGTAGTCTTCATTGTCTACAGTACAATTTTCATTTTTTACGATAATATTTCTATGTATAATTATTTTTTTTAGATCGCAACTTTGCCTAAATATTTGCTTAAATATATTTCAATTACGTCTTTAATTATGCAAAAGAAAAAGCTAGGGAGACAATCATAGGAAAAAATGATAATGTATAAAAAGAATAAAGATGAAATCAATTCTTCTAGTTATATTGACTTTTTTGTGCTTTCTATATTTGAAATAAAATAAATTCGGAATGTTAAAAGCATTCAAGAGGATTTAAGAATATGTTTTTCATTAATTTGGAAATGATTGTCGTTTTGAACAAATTTGATTAAGTTTCAGGTCGCTGCCAGTCAGGGAATAAGCTTTATGTAAAAAATTAAAATATTATTTGATAAATAAAGATAATTAATGATCATTGAATATGTAAAAAGTAAAAATACAAATAAAAGCTTTTAGAATAAAAATGTGCCCAAACTACGTATCTAATTCCGTTATGTATATAATAAAATTAAGCAAAATTTTGATGAAACGGTAAATGTGCACGACAGAACATAAAGAAACGAGATAAAAAATGAAAACAATGAAATATAATGAAGCTTCTATAGAAGTAAGACTACATTGGCAATACATGTGCTATTTGATGCTTCTCTAACTAACAGGCACATACCTCGATAATAAGTGGTTGCATCAACTGGTTGTCAGTCACTCTAGTTACGACGGTCTCGGTGAGTGTACTCTTTGTGACGGTCTCAGTAACTTTACCGAGTGTGGTAGGAGCTGGAGGAAAACTAACATCTCCAGGCAAAGTATCGGGCTGCTTTATCGTCACTGTCACAATGGGGCCTTGATGGGAGTCTGGTGAAGGCGAGGATGTTGGAGGTCGAAGGAAATGAGCAGGGATCATAGCTTGAAATTCCTCGTTGGTGATTGGCTTCGGTACCTGTATGTCTTCCTGCGGAGATGCTGGTCTAGGCTCTACATGAGGAGTGATAGCTGCAGAACCAGCATTATTTGTAGGTGTCGTCTGCGAAACACTATGCCTTGGAGCTGGCTGCGGATACGTTTGATTACTTGTCGGGCTGGGAGATATTGGTGAAACATTCTTCAAAGTGTTTCCTGAATCAGTTACACCATTCATTTTAGGCATCTCATTGACATCGGATTTCACGATATCGGATAATGCCGGTGGAGACGGTGGCGTTTTTGAAGTAGGACTCGGTGTCAATGCTTTGTCGGCATCCATGGAGCGACGATATCCACCGTATCCAGGTCTATTTGCCATGTAACTATTAGGATTGTACAGGCCTGTGTAAGGTTTTGGTGCGCCTATAACACGCGGCGATTTTTCAGAAGGAGTTACAACGGTGGTGAGATTAGCTTGAGAAAGTGGTATTTCCCGTTCGACTACTAATCGAACAAATCTTTCTAAGCCTGTAAGTAAAGCCACTGCTTGTTCGTGTTTCGCTCCTCTCATATCTACTCCATTAATCTGCAAATTACAAATCAAATCACAAAAATGATTAATTTATACATTAAATTTTGTCGTCTAATACAAATTTAATACAGATTTAATGAAGAAAGACTTACGGATATTACTTTGTCTCCAATTAATAATTTACCATCTTTTTGGGCAACTCCGCCGTCTGTTATTCTCGAGATAAAAATTGCCTGAAAATGTGGTCGGTAGTTAATATATAGTAATTAATCGCAATTAAAGTAATAGTAAAAAATAAATTTTATTGTACAAGTATTTACATCGCTATTATCCTTAAACGGTGGCGAACCTTCTCCACCGGCAATACTAAATCCAAGCCCATTTTGGTCTCGTATTAACGTCGTGTGAAAGAGAACGGATACCATAGGTTCATTGTCTTTTACAGCCATTATAGGCTCAGGAATCTTTTTCGTCTGTGACACATATGATGTATATCAAATTCACATCATTAATGTAGCTTATTATAAAAAAAGGTATGACATTTAAAAATGCTCAAAAACACAAATACGTTACCTTTCCAATTTCATGAGACATAGATGTGTCGCCATTCTCTAAAGTATGTGACAATGCCGTAGATGAAACGTAAGATGTTGCACTTGGTGCTCTACTTGTACTTAAGCTAGAGCATACGGAATCTTTTCTCATTGGTCCCTGAAATAATAGACAAAAATTAATATTAATCTTGCTTATTTGAAATAAAACTTATTATCTGGCAACTAAATTAATGTAATATTACCTACTCAAATAAAAAATAATAAAACAACTATTTTATACCTGTTCATATGGCGGAATAATCCTTGTAACTTCCCTTATGACAACCAACACAAGTACACGTCCACACGCTTTCAATACTTCCACAGCATCATAATGGTCTACATTTACTACTGACACTCCATTTACAGATATTACTTTATCTCCTATCCTCAAACCAGCCAAGTCTGCAGGTCCACCTGAATAAATGTATGGAATAAATTACCATAAAACATATAATAACATATAATAAGCGAATATTTCATAACCATAAAAGAGAAACATTCATATGTAACGTGTATCAATGAGATAAATTCAAAAATTATTTACTTGTAAATGAATGTTTACCTTCAGTAACTCTTGAAATAAAAATGCCTTCATCATCGCCTTTAAAAGGTGTCGACCCAATACCACCAGCTATTGATAAACCTAGTCCACCTGTCGTTCTTTCTATATGAATTTCATATTGCTCTTCCCGTATTTCCAATGCTGGTTCAATATCAGATGTTGCATCTACAATAACAAGTCTTTAATTAACCATTGTTGATGCCATTTAATAGATATATTACCTTGCTGTACGTATGCTTGTCAATATTTATTTTTACCTTTTCTAATCCTTTTATTTCTAATAAAACATTTATATCTTCTAGGCATCTTACTTTAAGTGATTTATCTTTCATATAAAATAACTTTATTTATATAAAAAATATCACACATATATATGACAAGTATGTACACTGTTATAATTTATCAACTTCCTAACGCGTACTATTCAGAGACACCGTGATAACTGAATTAGAGATAAGACCATATAGGTAGGGTAAGAGATATATCTTATCATGTTCCCTCCTCTACTATGCGATAAAATCAAAATGATTCATATACTAAGAAAATCTTTAAAATCTTCTATCATCATTTTATAATAAAAATGAATATACATATATATTACGATAAAAAATGTCTCACAAAAAATCAAATCTATTAGCGTAAATTAATAGCCATAATTCTAATAAAACTGAACAAACAAATGTTTAATAAAATAGTTTAAATTATTTTATAAATAAATGTGCGATATGCAAATTGCTAAATAAAACTATAATTCTATTTCAACTTAATTTTTAAATTTACCTTGACTATGCGTGTCGAATGTTTCCATAGATTCTACTTGTGATGGTAAAGATGTAGAAGTCTCATCAACTTTTTTTGTAAGTGCCTATAAAAGTATAAATAAATGTTAAATGTTATCGATTCTTACAGATTCTTTAACAGAAAGTTAATTGTTAGCACATTAAATATTTTTATAATTATTACAAATAAAAGTAAAATTCATTTATTAAATAATATATAAAATATCAACCTGCGCAATAATGGAAGCAACTTTTTCTTTATCAATTGCGGTATGAATGCGTTTATTTTTCAGATGATGTGGAGTGTCTCTACGTTGAAGTTTATTCGGTTTATTTGAATCACAAACATCTTCGTTATTTGCGTCTTCTACAATACTAAATTCAACGTGTCTTTGCACATCATCATTTTCCGATTCTTCATCATCTCTTTCTTTTGATTCTGGTACAGAATTTTCAGTTCTTGCATTCTGCGAAAATGAGCACTCTTAATTTAGTAAGAAATGAAAAGACTTTATATGTATAATTTCTATATATTTTTATATAGATAAATATGTACATATATGAGAATACAAGAGTAAATTATAATTAATATGTACATTATAATGCATATAAACATTTTTATACAGACATTTTGTTTAATCAATAAGCACTCTTTATATGTTAAAAATTAATACAGTGGATAGAAGATAATATCTCGTGTATTTATTAGAACAAGCAGATTTTTTCACAAGTTACTTACTGTGTAAAATTCCGTGGAAGATTGAATGGGAAGATTATTTGCTTCCTTATTAAGTTGAATATCTGTGCCGACGTCAGTTTCGATGTCAAGTGCTTGCATTTTATGATCATCTTGTGTAATATTGCATTCTACATATTCTTCCTGTTCAGAAACACCGTGCGGCATGTCCACTGGATTGACTGGTGGTTCTGATTCTGTTTTATCTAATCCAAATGTTTGAGAAACATCCTGAAAAAAGTTTGAACAAGATTATTTTACAAGATAATGCGAAATAAAGTCCATTAAGAATGTTATAAAAAGTTAAGAACGTACAATTAAAGTTTATTCGGCAAATTAAAATATACTAGAAAAAGAATAAAATTAATCGTAAGACTTACTTGTTCATCCGTAGATTCCGATCGACTTTCACTTTTTCCTTTGCTAAATAACTTATGCGCTTTAGCTTTTAATTCTTTTGGATGTGGTGTGTTTTGACGTATAAATGGAATCTATTTGTTGAGATAAATAAAAAAGAAAAGATAAAACAAAAAATAATACAAACTAACTTGTAAAAAATTTGTAAATCAATAAACGCACCTCTTTATCGGCTTCTGGTGGCTCGTCAGTGAATTTCACAGAATGCGTTCTTGATGCTTCTCTCTCTTGCCAACCTTCATCGTCGCTACTTGTCAGCTCACGCATTTCACAACCTTGAACATTTCTCATACCAACTAGCATTCCCAATCTACCTGAATCTAAAGAATAAAATCTGCTTATATTGTATACCTACTGGTAAATGTATAAAAACCAAAATAAATAATTACATAAGTTCTCATCAATCACTAACATAAGGATAGCCATCTCTTCCATTTAATTTTAGACTTTGACTTAAAGATTTTCTCTTTTACAATTATATACACCCAAGTTACAGAATTTACATACTACATTTCCGAATAAAATTTTGAAGAATAAAAAAAAAATAAAATAAAAATATTTAATTATTTATTTTGCACTGTGTCTCACGCAAGTCAGTGTATGCGCTTTAGCGCATTCTGCGTACATCTGAATAAACTTTGTAACATTTTTTCAAATAAATCTATCATTATGTTATACAAGATTAAAATATCACTAGACAAATATTTTAAGATAATTTGCAGAATAAATCTCCAGATGAGAAATCAACGAAGTAGAATGATCAATTTAATTACTAACCATCAGGATGAAATTCCAATTGTGGCAAAAGAAAACACGTTAGTACTTCTTGTCCCGTTTCCTCATCAACATCTGTTTGGAACGTTAACATTGGCTGCGCTTGGTTTTCACTTAACCATACCGCTTTCAGATTCAAGTTGATTAAAGAATATGGTAAATAATGTAACCTGTATAGCAAAGTTTGATATATTAATAAAACAAATTTAAAAAAGCGTACACCTTATCCAAATGTAACATTTTTATATCTCGCTCTTCTTTTATATTTATATCTTTGATAATAATAATAATATTAACAATAATGTGGGTGCGAGAAGCAGACTACAAAAATTATATACCTATTGCCAGATACATCTAGAACATGAAGAGTAGTACACTGTCCCACCTCAACCGGAAGATATTGTAATTTGTTATCTCTTAAAGATAACACACCCAACTTTTTCAGATTTCCTAAAAAATAAAAAATAAATATTAAATCGGATTATTTAAATTTTGTTCTCTTATAATTTAAAATTTACTTTTATACATTCAATATTGCCCAATAAAATCTAAATCATATATTTTATCATATATTTTACCATCTTACCAATTTCGATCGGCAAAGATTGCAGGCTATTTCTATCAACATTCAAATTATTTAAATTGTAAAGTTTGCCTATAGACAATGGTAGCTCCAAAAGAAAATTCTCTGTAAGAATTAACTCTTGCAAATTCTCGCACCTAAAACATACAAAACATGGGCAAACTTTTATCTCCAACTAATATCTTATCTTTACTTTTAAGATTATGTTAGATTTAAGATTAAGGTTAAATTAATATATATAAATTTAGATTTTATACAGTTACCTTCCTATATTTGGATTTAAGGTAGAAAGTCTATTTTGATCTATTTTAAGAATAGTTAACTTTTTCAATTCGCCGAGTCCATCAGGTAACTTTTCAATAACATTCTGTGATAAATGTAAGTCTGTTAATGATTCCAAACCGCCAATCTCATCAGGAAGATCTTCTAGACGATTTTCCGAAACATCTAAACACGCCAATGTTTTCAATTCACCAATTTCGGGTGGCAAGTGTTGCAATTGATTGTGATCAAGCCATAGTTCTTGTAGCGCTGGTAATTTTCCTATATGCGCAGGCTAGAAAGGGAATGTATAATAAAAATGATTATTTCTTCTCATTCTTTCTTTTACGTAGTTTGACTAAAATTTATAACTAAAGTTAGTTTAATCGATCGATGTAAAACTGTTAAATCGCTGAAAAAGCAATTGAATAGGTAATTTAAATAGAAAAAAATTTTAAGTTTATCGATCTTACGCGGATAATATTTTTATCCGTAAGATATCTATGCTAAGAATCCATTATTAGAGCAGCAAAAAAATATGTATATATATATAACCAAAAAAACATTTCCTTCGAAAGATATGAGCGTTTTCATTCACTTGCGTTATTAAAAATCACGATTAAAAAAAAAACGCAAAACTTACCAATTCCTCGATCTCATTGTCACCGAGATCCAACCGTTCGAGTTTTAAAAGCTGGGAGAGCGATTCAGGCAAGGATTTGAGCAAATTTTCTCTTAATTCCAGTGACTGTAGTGCCTCCAAGCTACAAAAGAAATATACATTTTCAATAATTTATAAAACAATAAATAAAATTATATAGCAATATCTGATATATAGATTATTGTAGCTTTTTTGAGAGGTTTACTTTGATATTACCTTCCAAAATCAGGTGGCAAGTTTGTAAGAGACATGTCATTAAGTCCAAGTATAGTTAAATTTCTTAGCTGTACAAATCCTGCTGGAAGTCTGAAAGGAACGATCAATAAAAATTTATATTGCTTTGATTGAATTGAAAAATCCTATCTAAAAGAAGGCAGAAGAAAGATAGAAAAAAGATAAGAATAATTTAATAACCTTGGAATAGGATTACTGCTGAAGTCTGCCACCTGTAGCGCTTGCAAATTCTTAATATTTTCAGGAATGTCCGGTATATCTACAATATAAAATATAAAGAAAGATAAATCTCAGTCACAATGATTTAATTCTCTTTTTTATTAGGCACGCAATATTGCCGTCGCGCGTGCAATAAACGAGCAAGATTATTTAAATATTGAAACGCAATGTCGCTTATTTTAATTATTCATTCAAGAGAGTGATAGCCTGTTAAGAATTATATTTCCACAGAATTATTAATAATTTTCATAGAATTTAATTTTCACTAAAGAAAATATTCTTTCAGCTCTCTTTATATACTTTCTTAATTTCAGCCATACTCAACATTTCGTAAATATGAGAGAGAAATAAAAAACAACTCGACTCGTTGCTCCGCCGCGTGTTTCGCTTCACATCCAGAGTGGCTCCGTCATATCGCGAGAGTCAAACACACCGCGATACTGACATTACTAACGAGAGGAAATTACAACAAAGCGTGATTCCGCTACGAAAAAAAAAAGGAAAAAAAAATACGTCCGCGCCGTGACAACTTCTTTTAAGTAGTCGTCGACTTAAAACATCACGCAAAGTCATTATACTGTAAAACGTTTTCGACAAAAATTTGAGATAAAGAACGTTTCATAAAATTAGACTAAGAAAACTTATAAATATTATTAGAAATATATAATTATCAAATAAATAATTTTAAATATGAGTTTTTCGCGCACGATGCCTCATGGATAAACTCTTATTCGTTAAATTAGACGTTGTTTAAATGAATCTATAAAATGGATAGTTAAGAAATATATGAACGCTCTAATTATTAGGGGACAAGCCTGAATTTTCTTTGACATTTTATTACCGAAATAGATTTGATATTGAAATTGAAAAAGTTGCCAAGCCGAGTGTCGACCTGCGGTCAATTTACACTATAAATAAAGAACTTATGTAGAAGAGACCCGCGTCTATAGCTATATGGATGAATGGAGATGCGAGATGCGAGATGCGAGATGCGAGATGCGACAGTCCAGGATCCAGGGTCTCCCTAGACCAGGGTCTGTCTAGGACGTCGTACCCCCTTTTTTCCCTTTTTTATACAAGTGACGTCGATTTTCATATGCTACTGCATCGTGGCTAGTCAGCGGCAAGCATGCACCCTTTTGATGCAACCGCAATAAACATTATAAATAGCTCGAAACGTCCACCCTCGGCCTTTGTAATTTACCTCAGAGAGGTGACGGGAGATCGTTACTCTGTTGCACGTCGTGTTTGCAGTGTTTGCAGTGTTTGCACGTCGCGAGCTAAGAGAGTCTACGTAAAAAGACGAGAGAAGACAAGAAGAAATCTCGCTAGTCGCTATTCGTTCTATTTCCATTTCGATTCGACTGTTAAAACTCGTTAAAACGAGTTCCATTCCATCTCTACGTCGATTCCTAAGAACAATCGGCGAGTACGTTCCGTTCGGTCGTAAAATGAGTACAAAACGAGGCCTGAATATGCGTGTGGAATTCTGAAAATTCAAATCAAAACTACCAACAAAGATATCTTTTCAAACGCGAACAGCCTTGAGCCTTGCAGGACCAAATTATATCGGATCGGCTCGATAACAAAATTTTGAATACAAATGTAGAGACGAAGGAAGACTAGAGCGTTTGGAAAGCGCACGGCGAGCTCGCAGCTAGCAGGCATAGATCTATAAGAGCAGTCAATGGCCATCTCGAGCGAGCCAGAGCGAGCGCGGTAGCTCGTAGCTCGTAGCTCGTAGCTCGCCTTCTCGATCCGAAACCTGTTACGATTGCGCACGTTTCACCTTTTACGCATTCAAGCAAGCGACGGAGTTTTGTGTTTTGTGTTTTGTGTTCTGTCCTGCGTGCTGCGTGCTGCGTCGCGTGATAGATCCATCGCGGGTCGCGGCTATTCATCGCGCGCTCATTTTACTGATGTTACAGCGTGCGGATTCCAGATGAGTCAGTGCCAACGAATGTGCGGATATTGTTGCAAACGGAACTAAATACGTAACATCTTTCTCAATGCATAATTGATGCAAATCGCCTACACTTACGCAGATAGCGATGCTATGCGTGCACATACGCGTACACGCGGCCTCCGTCTATCTCGTGTTCAGTGTTGACTTGTGTTGACTAGAGAACGGCGCGGCGCCGCGGCGTGTCGCTAGTCATTTCAATTGTAAACGATAACGCTAATATGAAAAATGTTTGTACATACGCTGGAATAAGTGATGATAAATGTCAAGATAATTCTTTTTTAGTCGAGACTGCTCGCACGAGTCGCACGTCGCGATCAGACTCCGTTTCGCACGCTGAAAATTTATTCACGTCAAATTTTGAGATCGGTAGATTTTACAATTAGAGGCTTAGACCAAGAGTCTGTTACATTTGCGAAAAATTTTCGCTAACTAGATATTTTTTTGCACGCACGTGGAACGTACGTTATCTTTAGACGTTTAGATTTTGATAAAAGGTAAAAGTAAGTGCCATTATATGTAGATATATTTGATATATCATATATATCGTATAGTCATACAGAAAATACTGGAGCAACGTAAAGTCAAACATGCAACACGAAGTGCACGGTCAACCCGGTCGACCGTGTAGCCGATGCCGCCGTTGCTGTCGAATGTCGATAAACTGCGACTGCCGTGGCGTGCTTCTCTCTCTCTCTCAACAGTCTCAATCTCAACCAATCATCGCCCATCGGCAGCACTAATCTAATATAAAAATTAAAAATCTTTAGAGTTTGCCGAGAGATATCCGTCAAGTCCGTACGAGAGACGAGACTATGCATTGGAAATTAAGGAAATAAAGATCAATCGAGGATCAATCAAGGACGGATTAGAATTCGACCAATCAACACGTTGACAAATCGGACTAAAATCAAAATTACCCGGTCGAAATTACTTGGTCGAAATCTAATTTCCAACTCGCACGTTTCCATCTTTGCGGCGTAGCTCGATAGTCTCGATATAGTCTCGATACAGACTATAATATATACTCTGTCATATTTGTTATACAAATACGCAAAAAAATTCTACGTTTTTTCAATAAATAATCATCAATACGCGGTACAAAATCGGAAGACGCATATCTATATTCATATTGTATATTTTATCATATAGTCGATGTAGTCGATCGAAATAAATTTTAGGGTAGGTACGTGTGACCAACGTCACCGAGTCGCGCCGTGCAAAAATGGTTTATCCGGCTTACCGGTGTAAAAGATACGGATACCGTACATGGTCTCGTGGTCTCTAAAATAAAAATACCAGATCCGATTTTCTCTTATCGTACGCGGAACGTCCGTCCCTCTTCTCCTCGCCACCGCACCGTCATTCCTTCTACTTCTACTTCTACCTGTACGCGCGCACGCATACGCGAATTGATATTTCTACCTGGCGAGACCCAAAAATATCAACTCGCCGAATTTCAAATATATAATTCGTAAAAGAGAGAAAGAGAGAGAGAAGACACGACTCGACCATGGCAACGCCAACGAGTAGAACGAGAAGAGAAAAATGTAAAATAACGTGAAATACGTTTGAAAAACATAAATATTCACGGGAGGCGCCAGTGACAGGCGGGGCGACTCGGCTAGTCGGCTCCGCTCGGCTCAGTTCGGCCGCTTCAGCGTTAACGCGATGTGGCAGATTGTGATTGTGGCTTGTGGGCTTGTGGCCGTTCAGGTTCAGGCCCAAACCGGCCAGGCCGTTGTGGCCGTGGCGTCGGTAGCGGACGCGGACGCGCTTGACGCGCTACGGTGGAGGATACGATGAGAGGAAGCGAAAGAAAATACACCGTTACACGAGTTTCATTACTTTCATTAACGCGTAGCCACAACGGTTGCCGCGTCGAATATTAAAAGTACACGGCGATATACTCCTCCAGTAACTTTGCCTTCTAACTTTGTAGATCGTTGAGTCAACGCAACGATAGCGATAGCTCCGCTAGTTACGCGTTCAACTCGAATCTCGATCCTTCTTACCGCTAAGTCGCCAACGCGCTCCTTTACACGCCTGCCTTTTTCTTTAAAACAGTCATCGGCCCGGGCCCGGTCAACCTTCGACTGGACCGGCAAACGCCGAAAAAGTAGGATGCAATACGACAATAAAAACGACAATGACATGTCAGGCGTGAGACATCGTTAACGAAGCTCTTTTAATAACATTAATTACGATTAATTGCTTGAATTCCTAGACGGTGTTAGACGGCGTTGACGGCTGCTCGGTTGCACGTATCGCGCGCGCAAATAAAGCAACACGCCCTCAAAAATCTCTTTGTCGCAGCTTACAATCCATATCAAATACGTTTCTCACCATTCCTGGACACATCCAACTCGACGAGATTTTCAAAATTCTGGATGTCTGGTGGCAAACGATGTATCTCATTGTCGCTCAGGCCAAGTTTTCGTAGCCTCTGGAGTCGGAAGAAATTCTGAAACGATGAGAAATACGACATTAGTCGAGAGAGAGAGAGAGAGAGAGGGAGAGAGGGGGTGGGGTGGGGTATTCTTGATTCTCGATCGCCTAGGTCCTAGCTGTCCTAGATACGTGGGTATTTCGCGTAAAGCGAAAACGGAGAAAGGAAATAAAAGTAACAGACATGCATGAGTAGAAGGCGTTTTTCATCCAGATTTCATCCAGTCGCGTTCGGAATGATCCTGGTCGTATCCCCGCGGCGGCGACGCCGACGAGACTAGACTAGGACGTTAGGACGTGACAAATACAACGGTAAGAAGCGTAACAAGGAAGAAATGCAATACGTGGAAATGGAGGGTATACGCGTGTCGTGTCCCCTCGTGTGAGAGATGTAATGGACGCGATAAGAGTAGGAGAGTTGAGAGTTAAAAGTTAGAAGACTAAAGATTAAAGTTGTACGTGTACACATGATGACGCTTACTTTTGGTAGATCACGGATATGATTCGCGTCTAGCAGAAGCTCCTCCAAGCTCCTCGAGTATCGCAGGATATCGTCGGGGACGCACGGCAGAGAGCAATGACGCTTGTCAACGTATTCCACCTGCCTGTTACACCCTTTAAAAATCGGAATGCAGCGGAACATGGTACACTATTCGACTATTCACCGTTGAGGCTGTTGATCACGTTAAAACAGCACCGAACATAATTATCCCGTGGATAAAACGCTCTTGCGCGCGCGCGCTCTTATTCGCACATACTTCCATCCGACGACCGACGACCGACGACCGACGACCGACGACCGACGACCGACGACCGACGACCGACGACCGACGACCGACGACCGACCGACCGACCGACCGACCGACCGACCGACCGACGTCGCGTACGAGAGAACGGCTCACGGCAGAACGCACGACTTCACGCCCTACTCGACCACTATGCCACTGCTGCACTGGCTGCACTCTGCCAGTTGCCACTGTCGACCACTCGGCTTTAAACTCGTCACTCGTCACTCGTCACTCGTCACTCGGCGTTCTCGCTTCTCGGGACTCGGGACTCGGGACCTATACTTCGAGATCTGACGTCATCACGACACCATCGACGAACCACCGATGGCACCGATCACGTTGTTCGCGTCGCTCCCAGCACTCCCAGCACTCCAGCTCTCTCACAAGCTCCCAACTCCCAGTTGCTTCAAAACCACGCGAATCAACTACGACTACGGGCGTGTGCAACACGTACGTATGCATGTATGTATGTATGTATGTACATACATACGTATGTACACGAGGCTACAGTGGCTAGTGTGGCTACTACACCGCCTTCGGCGCCTTCACCCTTCACTTCCCGATCCTTCCGATCGTCGCGCCAGCTCGCCTGGCTTTCGCTAAACTAAACAAACCACGCACCACGCACCACGCACCACGCACCACTGACCACGCGCTTAGGCCGAGTTTCCACTGAGCGCGTCACGCGTCGCGTCGTCCGAGTTGAACCAATCAAAACATCCCATTTTATTACATTACTTGACGGTATCAAAATGGGATGATTTGATTGGTTAGCGTGACGCGCTCAGTAAAAACTCAGCCTTAGGGCCAATTTCACCAACCACAGTTAGCTTAACCGACGGTTAAAGTTAGCAGGATTGACCAATAGAAATGAATCCACCCTGCTTTCTATTGGTCAATCCTGCTAACTTTAACCGTCGGTTAAGCTAACTGTGGTTGGTGAAATTGGCCCTTAAGGCTTTGGGAGATATTGGCCAGACTGGCCATAATGGAGGCGTCACATCGCGTCGGCGCGGGGTGCGGACATCCAGCTGGTCCAGCGTCCGATATCCAATAGGAAACGTCGTTTCCTACAAGTTTCTATAGTTAGCGACATTTTTTTGTCTCTAGGCACGACCGTCGACGTGACCACGCATCACGCACATTAATGTCCATTTCTACCGATGTAGATTAAATTTAACTTAATTATTTCTTATCTTTTTCCAAGTTATTATACATCGATGTAATAACTTGGTCGTAAAAAAACATTTAACGTCAATATACTTACGTTTATTACGCGAGCGTTACTTCTGTAGTAACTTACGATACGTCACTCGTTTACGCGGAGTAAATAATTGTTTACTACAGAAATAACGCTCGCAACGCAGCAGTAGTCAGTAGTGAATGCCGACAGTCGACACCCGACACCGATGTGACTGATGCTGCGATCAGCGATGTGTGCGTGCGTGAGGGCGTCCGGCGCGGCGTGGGGACTGGGGATTACCCATTGTATGAAATGTACATACATACGTATGTATGTATGTATATACACATGCATACGTAGCACGTAGCTCGGTGTAGATCGATGATTATGTTATCTGCTGTGTAGTTTATGTGTATGTGGCAGACGGCAGTGTGTGGCCCAGGTGGCACTTGGCAGTTGGTGATGGTTGGTGACGAATGTGACGATCAACGACGGAATACGCCGAATACGGATAATAGCAGAATAGCAGATCCTCCTTTGTTCACGCCCGAGTGCGAGTTGTATCCCATATTTTTAAATATTCTGCATCGAACGAGCGCGGAGTCTTATTTTCAAAACGACAATCTTGTATTTTCGACCGTCGCGTCAGGTAAGCGCGTTAGATAACTTTGATTCTTGATTGTTTGAAGAATAATCGTTGTGAATCTCATCCCAATCACGTCATCTACGTGTAAACGTGAATATGGCGTACCTGTATATGACGAATATGACTATACATATCTATCTATCTGATAGAAGACGTTTGCTAAACTTTTTTGATTAAATATAAATATGCATGTACATTTTATTTAATTTTTATCTCCTTTAATATGCTGAGAACGTGATAATCTATTTTATGAATTTTATCAATAAAATTGAATGTAATGCCATAATATATATGTATGTAATGCCCGTCAGTCGCGTACGTGCGAGAGTGTGTGCAAAAAATTAAATGCAAGCGCAGCAGTATAAGCTTAGCGTTGATGCGCCGCCCCGCCACGCGCTCGATACCATTCTCGTACGTGTTAACGAAATCGTGTATTACACTATAATCGTGCCTGCTGGCATTTTCTTTAGAAAACGAGAAAAGGTGTTCCTTGACATTCAAATGTATAAGGCGCTTACAGTAGCGAATTTAACTTTTCAGTCGTAATTAAAAAAGCATTCTTTTTTTTCATGTCTAAAACATATTTTTTCCTTTTATCAATATACGACGTTATTTCTTTTTCACAACACCTCCACGGAAAGTTCGACTTTCCATGCCTGTAGAGAGGGGCGAAAGTGATCACTTTCCGCCCGCTATGCCGTCCTGGCGTGAAATGGCCACTTTCGCCTCTCTCTAGGCATGGAGGTCGAACTTTCCGTAAAGATATTGTGAAAAATATCGTGTGCACCTCGGGGCGAAAGCTTTTTCAGAAAAACGTAGACTTTCGCCCCTTGGTGCACAATATACTATTATGTATATATTTTTTGACTCAAGCATTTCACATACATTCTATATGTAAAAATGCGGCATAATCTTATAAAGATTACATCGCATTTTTTATCAGCACAGATTACACGGATATAACGTTGAGAATAAATTAAAATTAAGATTTTGAAAGAAGACTAATATTACTCTATTTTTTAGTAAGCTTCACGTTCATCATGGAGGCACACGCGCGTGCTCCAGATCCTTTAACGAAAGACGGTGACATGGCCAGCAACTGGCAAACCTGGAAAGAAGATTTCCTTATATTTATGAAAGTAACTGGATATATCGATAAATCCAATGAAATCCGTGCGAATCTTTTAAAAAATCGGATTGGAAAAGTTGGTATCGAGGCAATACAAAATATGTCTTTTGACAATATGCAAGATAGAGATGATATGGACATATTGATTAAAAAGCTCGAGGAATACTTTAATCCACCAAAAAAAGAAGTGGTTGAACGGTATCATTTTTTTACAAGATCAAAGAGGCAAAATGAGTCTATTGAACAGTATATAAATATCTTGAAAGTACGTTATATTTGTGATATATATTTTTCTTGTAAATTGTACATATATGTGCCATGTATTCACGTTTTTGTTATTTATAGGAAAAAGCTAAAACTTGCAATTTTAATGATATGACAGAGAGTGTTATACGAGACAAAATCATTCTTGACACTCACGACAAAATACTACGTAAAAAATTTTTTGAGGCAGATGATTTAGATTTGTTGAAGCTAGTAGCGATTTACAACGATTATAACATTAATACTGAAAAGATGAAACAGGTTACTGCAGAAAATAAAGCAGAACCCACAAGGTTTCCACAAAAACCACCGGATAATAATGCGAAGAGAGTTTGTTGGAGATGTAACCATCAGCATCCACTAGGAAAGTGTTTCGCTTGGGGGTCAAAGTGTACAAAGTGTGGTGATATAAATCACTTCACTCAATGCTGCAAGGGTTTTAAATTTAAAATGAGTGATAATAAGGTAATGAATTGTTATTTCTCGAGACAAAGTAATATATTGGTTAAAAATTTTTAAGCATCTGTCAATTTGATGATCGTTAAAATATATATTGTCATGCCTGTTTGTATCATGAATGTTTTTAATGTTGTAGGTGAATAAAAATTTACTGGATTCAGTGCAACAAACAAAATTTATCCCAAAGGTAAACAATTCAAAGAATAATTAACAACGTACTTACATTTTCTTCCATATATGCATGCATAAGATGTATTGGGTGCGTGGTGCGTTCCACTTAACGCTCGCAACGCTCGTGGAATTATTTCATCCTTGTTGTTTATTAAATGTTAAACAAGGACGAAATAATGCTCGCGTGCAGCGATTGTGCAATATGATTGTTATGTGTGTAGAATACACATTTAAATTTTAAAAATATTGTATACGTAATCATGTAGTAAAGATAATTAAGGCTGTTTTTAATCAATGGTCGAAACATCCCGATTTTAATTCAATAAATATGGCCTGACCTCAGTGTTGGAATCAGGTACCATAGTTTTAACAAGAAGAAGAAGAAGAATAAATGTGGCCAGTTGGGTCGATTAAAAACTACCTGCGTTAATTATTTACTGACGAAGCAAAGTCATTGTTTTAGTAAAGATAATCCCCTATTTTTATAAAATATGATTTTATTTTATTTACATATAACGAAAATAAAACAAAGTATTTTTTACATGTATGTTTTGAGTATAAAACGTTGAGAAGAGAATAATGATTTATTTTAATATTAATAAAATTATTAAAAGTTATAACAGTTTTCAATATCTCAAAACAAAAAGAAATGAGCTGGAAATAAAAGTCGTTACAAATAAAAATATAGATAAAATTTTTAAACATTGAATATCATGGAGATAATTTTATGTTGTAGACAAATAATAAATGGAATAATGAAGCAGATTCCGCAGTTAAAACTATGGATTCAATGACTAAAATGGTATTTACTCTTCGTAAATCAACTGATTATACGATAAGATTGATTATAGAGATAAGATATTTTCTAGACCAGTCTTCCTGATATACCAACATCTAGCAATGCTGCAAATCCAGCTGTCGGGAATGACCCTGCTTCTGATTTTGTAATACTAAATACATCTAATCTCGCATCTAATACAAGTTCAAAATTATGTTACGATAATACCACGACGTATTCAGCGCATTTGCCTAAGAATACACGTGCGTATTTTATAATCCATATAGTATTCATGTATAAAAAACAACTTGATCAGCAAAGTGGCAATGAATAATAGAACGCGATTGTTTATTACAGAGTACAATTATTCGTATATGAAGGAAGTCAAACCAAACGGGATAGTTACTGATTTATATAATAGAAGCGAAAATATTCAACCTAAACAGACGGTAATTGAAAACTTGATAATTAAAAACCGATGTCATATATATATATATATATATAAAACTAATAACGACCATAACTTTTAGCAGAAAACAGCGCGTGTAGATGCTGCTCAAGTGCCGACCGATTTTTTGCGACATGTTACAAAACATAAAGCGGCGAATAACACACCAACATTCAGAAAGGAGCGAAAGAAAAAGTCAGATGAAGATGCTTGTGTATTGTCTTAAATCTTTTATTATATACTTTATAGATATATCTTGCAGAGTTGCATCAACAGCAAAAATTTTCATTTTATTATGTAAAAGTTAGATTAGCCTTTATTTTACTGATTTAAGGAAGGAGATTTAGAGAAAAAAATAAGATTTTTATGACTTTAACGTTTATAATACATAATATAAAATCATTTATATATATATATATATATATATATATAATGAAAATTTCTATCGTTTGCTACATATACTATGCATACCTGATAATGAGTAAAAATGCTGAAAATGTTTCCTACTATGTATCCGATTGCATTTATGAAATACACACAATTATACTTTTTATACTATGTATATTCTCATATACACTATAAATTAGAAATATGTTGTAAATTAAATACGTTCTGAAGTTTGTTCAACATCTTGAGAGACTTTTGTGGAATCGTTAGTTGCGTTATCAGCCAACTGTTGAGCCTTGAATAATTCGACAAGTTGTTCCGTTGCTGTAGGACCAAGCTTAATAGCTGCACCAAGCTCCTCCTATGAATAGAAATAGAATGTATGGTACAAAATTACTAATCTCCTTGACACAAAGTAGAAAAAATCTTATCCTGGATAAGCATTACATTAGGAAACTGTGCTAAATTTAACATAGGGTTTCTAAAGGTAAATGGTGTCCATGGTCCTTGGATTGATGGAAATTCCGTGTGCCACAGTTTACGCAATCTTAACGAAGGACCATTACGAAATTGTGTCCGTAACAATTCCATCCATTTTACAACATCTTCCTGGCTATAATTAGCAACCTCCATCCATTGTCTATCGCCATTCACTAAACAAAATATATATTCCACATTAGCAAATAATTGTGCAAATAAGATTTGAGATAATTGCGACACGCTATTCCGTAGACGGATGGCAAACGTACGATATTCGGCGACTATCACTGGATGCCTGTGCCTTCTTGGTTTAACATATACTACCACTCCTGGGTTTTCTTTCGCGTAATTGACTAGATCATGCTCTATAAAGCCTCTGCAAAAAAAATTAAATATTGATTTAAGAAGAAAGGGAAAGAGAGAGGAATTAATTCTGGATTTTATCACGTAGAATTGTGTCCACGTGAGTATAGGTTAGACGAATCACCTCATTCCTCTACTTGTACCGTGACTTTTGCAAAATTTTAAAGTTATCCTCTGCAATTGGCAGACATAACGTCCGATCCCGAGACCAAAAGGTGCCCTCGGGAATCCTGATTTCAGAAACAAGTATTTATTCGACATAATATCCTTTCGGCTTGAAACGCAAGTGACACAGTGACACTACACAAACACACTACGCGACCATCTGTGCGAGACACGCGAATCGCGAGTGTCGCGAGCACAAACTATCCTGTACGCGACTGATGGTATTTATGGTAATTAGGTCCTCTGAGAATATCTCGGTAGATAAACCTTATTTCTTAGCAGTAATCTCGCGATCGGTAACATTATCGATTCCTGACTTTTGCAAGTTTTTCCCATCCTTTATTTGAATAAATAACAAATTTTAAAACAAAGTTACTCTTCTAGTTTGATATGACTATATTAGGCCATATATAAACCTCGTCCTAAAAAGAAAAAAAAATCTAGCTCGAAAATATGGCACGTGTGATATTGGTTTTGTTTTATTTATGTTACAAGCAATAAAGAAGAACATTAATTATACAATTATACAAGATCTTGTGATATATTATAATAAGATGTATCATTTCTTTTTATATTCCGTATTATATTTATATACTTATTATAATCATGGAAAATTTGTGCATTCTTGATGCTGTTTCGATAGTTAATGCATTTGACACATTAATGCATTTTAATTTGATCTGATTCAGTTGTTTCCATTCGTCATTGTTTTTATCATACAGTGTTGATCTATATGATGCAAGGACTATGTTGTATATTCCGTAAAGTCGTCCATGTAAACTCGTTTGTTGGGTCTCGGTGATAATTCGTCTGTGGTAGTCTCCGGGTTATTGTTAATATATTCTTGCAATACTCTGCTTCTTAACCGCTTGATATGACGTAAGCGCTCCAACCAATTGGAAGCATATGGATTATGACTGTTTTGCTTCAAAGACGAACAAACCATTGAGGCGAGCTATAATAAATTATATCATATTATATAATGTCTAATTTTTCTATAAAAACTTTCTATATAAGCTTTTATGATTTTTACATTAGCGTGCAGAGCAAGTTGCCGTGACAGTATAGCCAAATTTTGATCGGAAATAATTTTAGACTCGCTATGACCAATATGCTCAGCCAATTCTTCTCGTGCTTGCACCGTAACTTGATTAGTACCATGATCTAAAGGTTGTATCACGACACAGGCATAATTAAATTGGCCCTAAGAGAGAAAGTACATAAAAATGAATTATATGCAACAAAGATGTCTTATATGACAGTTTATAATCTTATACACACCTTAACCGTCTGTATATTGTACGGTTCATCAGATTCATTATATACAAGCGTTACATAATTATTCCCAATATGTGTCTTTTTAGATGTACACTTTGGGTCACTTGCTTTTGTAGGCATCAATGTTGCAACATGGAAAGCTACCTAAAAAGTTTTCAAATAAAATTGTCATTTTGAAAATCGCGAGAGAATCACAAATTAAATTAATTTCATGCACAATATTGATTTACAAACTTGCGTAACATCATCTTGCCAAATATAAGCAAACTCTCCATTCTCGCCATTACGATCTAATCCACCTAAAAATATATTTTCATCGACATCTTTTAGTCGAACTAGTGTCCCTAAACGTTTCAAAAATTCAGTGTAACGGAGGGAACCATGTTGATTTGCCAAAATTTCAATTTCATTCGAAGCTTGTCCCTGGCCGACGTAGAGTACTCCAATTTTGTGAGTTTCATACGGTTGTATTCTATCTAGATTTGTCACCGCACGTTGTATGGCTGTTGTCTGTGGAACCAATAAAGGCTTTTCCGTGGTGGTGCCAAAGTGCGCTGCATGATAAAGTTGAAGGAATACAAAACTGTAAAACGGTATAACGTGTTAATTTCCTTTTTCTCTCTCTCCCTCCCTCTCCCCCCTCTCTCTCTCGAAATAAATTCTTATATCATAACAAAATATACTCAAATGCAAAAAAATTTATATCATAATTTCATAAAAAGGTATACATAGCAAATATGATACCTCGGATTAATGCCTGTTCGCGGTGGATCTTTTATTCGAGGAGAATTGCCTCGTCGCATATTATCCCATTCTCGTGATTTTTTTACTGGGCTCATAACAGAGATTGTGTGGCCTCTATCACGGAAAGGTATAGGTAAAGGAGGCAATGTAGACGGATCTGGCCTTTCATCTTTCTGCTAAAATGAATGATCAATTATAACTAGTGCAATATACAAAAAATAAGAGGGAATAAATTCTTTTGACATACCTTATCTGCAATATGAGTTCGCCCAATAGGTGGTTTACTTTCAACAGTCAGTGGCACTTGCTTCTGATTGTAATCAAGACTAGATAATCGAGAATAAATTTGAGTAGGTGATTGCGGCGCTTTTGTGGTAGACGCAGATTGTATTTGCGCAGAGCGTGTTTGTATTCCTAAATAATTTCCTGGTGCCTACAATAATTTTCACATTGTAAAAGTATAATCTTTATCAATTTATTAGTATTTCATTAATATATTATCTCTACCTGTACAGTTGTAGGAGATGGTGGTACTGTATTGCTGGTAGTTGAAATAGTTTGAGTAATTTGTGTCGCTCCTGGATAAGAACGTTGCGAACGTAATGCGGTTGGATGATCTCCAATATTTTCTGAAGAAGGTGGAGTTGTTCCCATACCAAATATTTCTTCTGGTATAGCTTCGCAACTAACTCTATAAATCATGCAAATAAATATTAATAAAAATATAGTTACAGAAAACAATTTTTTTTCTTACAGTAGCAAAAGTCTAATATTAAGCCACATTATCGAGCTTAATAATTTATTTGAATACAAGCACTTCTTGGGAATACAAGAGATTAAAAAAAAATTTTTATCTATTACGAATTATCATTAATAATAATAATAATAATAATAAATATGTAAATGTCTTTGATAAAAATATACCTCATATCTTTTGTATAAATATTTTTTGAATGCTTCTTCAATTCTGCATCCAGTTTAATCTCTAGCTCAGAACAAGTAAAATCTTTATCAACTTGTTGCTGCACATTTAATTTTTCTTTATTTAAAAATGGATTTTTCCAATTAGCGCTCATTTCTGGACTAGAATTCGATCGGCGTACTGGATTTCTGGAACGCCGCGTATCTATGGAAGATTTCCATCTTTTTAGATACTTATTTTAAAAAAGCATAAATTGTTATGTAATATAATAAATACCTTCTTCACCTTCTTCTAAACTTTCTAAACTGTCTCTTGAACTTTGCCGAGATGGACTAGGTCGAGCTGGCGAACCAGGTATTGCAATTGGACCTGACACCATGGAAGAAATTATCGGTTTCGCGCCATGTTCATTCTGTGACTGATTATTACTTTTGTTTGGCACTTCCTGTAATAAGAAATATTTAATAACTCCCTTTCTCTCTTTCTAAATAACTCACAGATAATTTAATTTTGGAAATACTTCTGCTTCATCATCAGAGTATTCTGAGGCAGCCTCTTGCTGTTTATTTGATACTACATCTTGATTTGGCATATACAAAGCCATAATGTCATGTATAGGAAAATCCATAGGAGTTTCAAATTGTGTAGAATTCTGAATCCTCATAATCCAAGACATATCGCCTGTAGGTCTACGAACGTATATTTCAGCCCATCCTTGACACCAACAAGCACAGAGTATATGTCCATCTTGTTTATCGCTATTTAATATCTGTCCCAATTTTGATGTTTCAATTTGATCCTTGTCACTTTTCTCTATGAGAAATTCCTTTTTCATACTGTCAGAATCTTCTGTGGATTTTTTCGATTCTTCCGTAGGAGAATTTGTAGCAGTATTTGCATTTGAACTTCCATGACCACCAGAAGATTGTCTGGATAACTTATCTTCTTTCGATGTCTATAAATATTGTAAATTCTTATATGTACTATATCTTTTTCTAAGTATATGCAAGGTATTTATAAGTATATTGTTTTCAATGTAGTGTATAAAAAAACGTCACAGAGCACTAGAGCAGGTTATGCACATATGCAGGTCATATATGCACACATACACACTAAAATTATATTATTCCATTTTGAACGATACTTTGTAATATTTTTATGAATTTATCTTGCTCCCTAAGACAATTATATAAATACCTCAATGCTTGAAGTACGTTGTAAGTTTGAGTGAGAGGTTTTTGTATGATCGAGTAACAGAAAGCCAGGTTTACACGCTACCCAACAATTGTCACAAAGTCCACCACGCATAGCTTTATTACTACAACCACTTGTTGTTACAGTGATAAGTCTATTGCCAAGAATCCAAGTCATTGACTGACCTTCTTTAAGGAGGAAATCGGCAGCTTGTAACCTGTTGTAAAATTAATGTAATCTGCTTGTTTCATACTTGCTCTAAATAATCAAGATTAAGGGAATTAAGAAATTCGTTTTACCTTTTAGGCCGTGCTGAATAATTTGAAAATGTATAACGAGCCATTAAATCAATACAAGTTTCAATAAGCTCAATATGAAAGTTCATCAAACCTTCATCCATTGGAGGTTTTAAATCCAAAGCTCTACTTTCTCCTATCATTCGATTCGCCATTATTGGCCTTTCTCTTCGACCTCTACTACCCTGTAAATACATTTAAAAAAAAAATATATATATATATATATATACATTTATCTAATATAAAATAATTGTAAAGACATAAACGTACATGCATACACACACGCGATATGATAAATTCTAAGAATCTATTCATGCATACATGTAATATTATTAAAAGGCATTTTGATAAATATAATTATCTTTATTCTTACTTGTTCAGTCAAACTAGAACTACGTTTTCTGTTTGAAGAATCTTCGTTGATAACGCTAAAATCAGATTTCATTAGATGTCCTTCTTCAAGAGGAATTATCACGTTTGCTTTCAATCCCTGTAAAAAATAAAATAAAATAAAACCTTTGTTCCATGTTCTTAAAGATTAAGTAACATATTGACATAATTATACACACCGTAGTAATAAATTTAACAAAATCTCTCCGAAAAGGAAGTCTGCATTTCAAAAACCATACAGCAATTACATGATAAGCCAGAGATACCGTATAATGATTATATTTGAAAGGATTGGTATACGGCAATAGTATTGCAAATACAGACA